GCTGTTGCCCGACAGAAGCAGGAGATGTAACTACACATGACTGGAAAAATGGATTTGAATGGATATTCACATTCTTCTTTGTTTGGAATACTGTCCTGCAGACAGTGATGTGTTTGCCTCTGAAGCTCTGATAAAATCAGATTCAACAACATCCTCTTTACACCTGAAGGCAGGAGTAACTCATCTGAAGCACATGACACATGCTGATCCCTCTCAGGTTTCCCAGACATACAGCCCACTTTTCTGTGTTGTGCAACCAGCTAAAATAATAACACCGCGGGATTACATTCTAGTCATGAGAGATATTTAAAGACCTGAATAAAAAATATTGGATTTTACAAAATGAACATAAATCTGATCAGCCAGAATCTCTGCTGAGAAAAGCTTCTTATTCGTCCTTCAGTTATTTTTTATTCCCACATATTTTTTGATGGACTACAGGGTTCCTACATTTCAATATGAACATTAAACTGGCCTGTATATTTGGTTCTTGATGCTTTCAAACAAATCCTTTGACATTCAAACCAATCCTGAGTTGGTGGTGGGAAAGGTGTCCCACCCTGTACAGACACATGACAACACCCGCCATACACTGATTAGTCGTTGATACGAAGGCTGAGTGTTGGTTTTGGAAAGGAAGACAGACTCATAACAATAATAACACCTTGCAGACTAATCTAGGTTAGCACTGTCTGTGCGACCAAATAAACAAAACAAAACTCTGGGCCTGCTTAAAATGTGTTCCCATTCTCTGACTGTGTTCATACTGTGCACTTATTCTTCTGATTCAAATGATTCCTGTGCATAATTTCAGATTGTCTTCCAAAAGAATAAAGAATAGACAAAGAATAGAGTGAGTGAGTGTATTGATGAAGGGTAGGAGGAGGACAGGAATGCCTCTGACCACATTTTCCAACGATAAAAACAACCAGCACTCTGTTCTGTCAGTCTGGACGGACTCTCTGCCCTTGTGATAGCCTGTCTGTCTCTCTATTCTCCATCTGTCTGTCTGAGTCTCTGTCTGTCAGAGTGTCTGTCCATCTGTACTGTTTAGGTAATTCAAGTCTGTCCTCTTTATCTGTCTTGCTGGATCATTTCCCAGTGGCCTCTGTCTTCATCTGGCTGTCTGCATGCTACATCCTAAAACAACCGTGCAGGTGTAAACCCAGGGAAATCCTCAAAGGCTTTTTCTGGTGTTTTGTCAAGACTATTTATGTGTTGTCAAATGACAGAATTTTAGAGTGTACAGTATTCCTGTGGATATGAAAGTCAGACTGTTAATTTATCGTTTATTTTCACAAATTTCAGTCTAAAAACCAAACTTTAGATTTGACCATGCTGGACAGGGAATTAGCAAAGCAATGGTAAGGGTATTTTTATTTATCCATTCTGATAGAATAGATGTTGATTTTAAGATGGGCGTTGCAAAGCATCAGGAAAGAAAGAGTGAAAGAATTAAGCAACGTCAGATGGCTTAAACAAAGGAGGAAGGAAATGTATTGCGACGGGATGCGTGCTAGCATGAGTGAAAGCGAGGCTAATCTGACAGGGATTAACATGTTACAATTCTACCAGCTGAGGGCTACGTAACACTGACACACACACACAGACACACACACACACACACTACTGTAATCCCACACCGTCCTAGTGGTGACCTATACAGTTAAACCACACCAGCACTGACTATGCAGCTTTAATGCAGACACACACACACACACACACACACAAACTGCGGGGCTGCTGAATCTGCAGCTGGTGCAGTACAAGAGACTCATACAGAAACCGGCATCCTTTTGGTTCCTCTTAGTTTTGACACTACTTCTCTGTCTCTGTCTCCCTTTTAGTGTCTCTTTGAATCCATCTTTTTCTTCTCTTTTGTACACCTCACCTTTACTGTAAATCACCTTTTTGTTTTGGGTTCTATTTTGGTTAAAACAATGCCCAACACATATTCCTGCATGGGATCATTGGGAGCAAGGTGTGTGAGCCTTATTATACACAGGTTTTCTTTGTGAGTGGGTTTTTTGAGTAGGTTCAAGGTTCTGTGAGTATGTCTTTGTCTCCAATGTAAGCCAACAATAAGTGCTTTGACAAATATATACACACACACACACACACACACACACACACACACACACACACACACACACACACACACACACAGACACACAGACACAAGAAGCACATCAGATGAGAGATTTTGGACACTGGTTTTTCAGGACCTATAAAGGGACACTCTCTGGCCTTTTCCTGGCGGTCTTCTGCTCTGTTGTTGTTTTTTCTTCTGGTGTTTTTCAGGGAACACAACCTTAACTTTTTAAATCTTCATCTATTTATTGCCTCCAAAGAACCAGTGCAGGGATGCTTCAAGCCTGGATTTAAACCTTTGATTGGAATGGACGGTGGAAAAATGAGATGCCACAATGATATAGATTTTGATCCACTTGATCGATGGAAAACTTTATCAATGAAGGTAATTAAGTTATCTGCATGGTATATTAATCTGGAGGATTTAACACTGCCAGGGTTATTTGTGAACGTGTAACTGCTGGTGGGATTAGTTATGATCCAGTTGTTGTTGAAACTGGTGTTGTAAGGAATGAGAAATAGAAGTATACTTGTGCATCTGCAGAGAGACGCTTCAAATAAATTCTGGAAATGGATGATGTACTGAAGATGGAGGGCGCTGAGCATAATTACGTAAAATATAGTGTGCTATCCATACTGAGGGGATATGAGACATTAGAGACTAGAGAGAAAAAGAGCATCTCATTGAAGAGACTGTCTCACAATAGCCATTATGATATGAACACATTTAATAATTTTAGCTTTTTTTTTAAACTCACCACATTTGACTAAATATTCACAATGACCTATATAACGAATACTTGAGAATTTACCAGCACTGTAGCAGAAAGGTAAGTATTTAGTGATTAAGAGAAGACTTCAGTGACTAATAAGAGCTGAAGCTGATGGAAGTTTAAAGAGGGATTTTTTGGTGTGATTCAATGCATAGGTCACCAAATATAGAAAACATGAGGTATTACATTAAATCATATTCAGATCAATTTACTGGAGAGAAACCGAGTGAATTCTCTGAAACATCAGCCTCAGGTGACATGCTTCACTGCAGACCAGTCAGTTTCAGCGCAATACAACAAGTCCAGACAGGTCATCAGGTGGGATTTATTTGTGCAAGAATGCTGCCAAAAATTGAGTAGGTAAATGATTGCCAGAAAAAATGCTGTGAGATAACAAAATATTAAAATAACTAATAATTTACTTATTGAATATTAAGATGCCAGGAGGATTGGTTTCTCAATAGTGTGCGGGTAACATAGATCATTGTATCTGTTATGTTCAATTAACATTTTTTCTTAATCCTCATTAAACCATAAAGCCTTTCATCATGATGATTCTTTCATATTTGCACACCATGTTGTTGGGTTTGTTCACCAACATACCAGAAGCTTATACTTTATGTCACTACAGCAGTAATGACATAAATTAATCTCTGTTACACATGTAGTGCTACTAGTTGACATTGGACAATTAGCTTTCTTCAAGTTGTGATTCTTACCTTGAAAGACGCTTTAAAGAGGGGGTGCAGTTTCATGCTAGGGTTTGTGAAGGTGAAACTAAATGAAAACTGTGATGATTATATTACAATGTAACTCATTCATGTTGTGTTCAGGGGCCAAACATAATGTTTCTGGGCCCCAGGCCACCCTTTGAGAAACTTTAGTGCAGTGTGAATGGCTCAAGGCATGGAGTCTCATATGACGCAAACTTCAAAAGGTTTTTTTTGTATTCTGTCTTGTAATGAAATGAAATGAAATGAAGAGAGATACAAATACTGCAATACATAAAACTTTTTGGTTTTGGGTTTTACATTTTTTTATGTTAATTTAATCATACTGATCATAGTTTACTAAATTACATTTTATACCATAAATTAAAGTAAACCAATGTAGTGTCCTTTTTTTGTTTCGATTGACATTATTCTGGCTCTCTCTCGATGTTTTATTCTGTTAAAGATGCAGTCATATCTTGACTTCAGCTGGTTTTGAACTGACCCCGTTTACTCACTTTGTGTCTCTGCTGCCTAAGTATTAAGGTGGAATTAATGACACAGCCCACATTGTGAGTGTATAAAAAGTATTACTGGCCCTCTATGTCTGTGGTTGTTTTCATTAGAGTCCAGACTACACACAGCTGTTGTTGTGATGATGTCACGTCTGTCTGGGAGGACAGTGGAGCCAGAGAAAGTGAGTGTCAGTCTAATTGGTTTGCTCTCAGAATGATGGAGAGAGAGAGAGGGAGCGATAGTAAGTGAGAGACAGACAGACAGACAGACAGACAGACAGACAGAATAAATTCCCAGAGCAACATCATATTCCCTGTTTTTTGTATTAACAGTAAAAAAAGTTCAATATTCTATCATATGTGATAAAGGAAAGAATCCATCCCCAAATTTTACGCCCTGAAAACTGAGATCCAACCAGAGTGGGAAACCCTCCATGACTGGCAGATCCAGTTTGTGAAAGAAAAAAAAAACCTACTCTGCAACAACCCCACATAACTACTTTTTCTGAGTGTGCCCTTCAAGGCAGAAGCACACTCAAACACCCTCTCACACAGATTCTTCTGCTGTCAATAGCCATATTTCGGACTCATTTTACAACAGAGTTAGTTATGTTCTTACTGCAAGCTGAATGGTATGCAACTTTATAACTTCCTTCAAACAGTAGAGCCCAAATTCCCTCCTCACACACTTAATTATGCAGGCTCCTCTCTCTCTTCCTGCCTCCTCCATCACTGCAGTTTGCCTCCAAGGCGTCAGCAGACCGGCAAATGGTTGAAAAGAGGATGTGGCACTCAACCCCCCTACAGAGGCTCCCACTCTAGCCAATAAAATGAGGCGCTGAAGGAGAAGGGGCAGGGCTTGAGATCTGATCCTCCCTGCTCCTCTCTCTCTTTCTCTCTCTGCCTCCTGCAGCTCAACTTGCTGTCTCACTCATGCTTCCTGGCTTCACTCACATGCACAGAGAAAGAGAAGAGCTGTAGAGTCTCAGGCGCACATGAGGCAGCTCTGTCTATTTTAAACTACAACAGGCTGGACTATTCCTTTTCCAGTTTATTACAGATTACATGAGCAAGAGCCGAGTTTTAGCTATTTTTATTTGTTCATTTTTTGTTTTGGATTTTCCTCCATCTGACTTGAGGTGGCCGTGTGTGTGCCCGTGTGTAACAGAACGAGTGTGAGTTGGAGTGAGTCTGTATGTGAGTGTAAGAGAATAAAGGGACAAGGATGATTGCCGCCCAGCTTCTTGCCTATTACTTCACTGAGCTGAAGGATGACCAGGTTAAAAAGGTGAGTGCTTCCTGGTTCTTCTACCTCCATCTTTGAAATGATAGGTTGTAGAGAAAAAGCAGATGTTGAAAGGAGAGGAGGGCATGACTTTGTAGAGGTCATAGAGTTTACTCATACTGCTGTCATCTTAACACAGCTGTAAAACTGTGGTTTTCCACTACAGCACATGTTGGGAAATCTTTTGATTTGTGATGCATCTCTTTCAGGAAGTGAACAAAAAACGAAGCGCATGTTGGGAAAGAACCGAAAGCCAAAAGGCTAATTGAGATGTGACAAACAGCAGAGGTGTATTTCTGTATTATGATGTGTTAGAAGACATGACACACAGGCGTGTGATACGTGCTATGTTGTAAGCTGTGAGAGGTGTGGCAAAGAGGAGGAGAGAAGAAGTGAGAGGTGATGATGAAAGGACTGATGTACAGTGGGATGAGAAGGTAGAAGTGGATTAAGTGCCAAGTCAATATAGGGGTCACTAAGTTTCTTTTATGTTCTCTTTAAAATGATCCTCTCACTTTCACTTTTCTCAGTACAGCTTTGAGAAAGGAAGAGGAGACAGACTTCAGCTCTCATAATTTTTAGCTTTAAGTTTAATTGACAGTCCAAACTGAAACGTAGTGGGGTTGTTGTAGCTCCCTTTTCCACTTAAATATTGTCCATCCAATAAGATGTCATGTTGACTCTTATTCCTGTATCATGTGCATATTTGAATATGCACATATACAGCTTGACTGTAATATGAAGAAGTTGAAGGTGAAAGAGGAAAACATGACGTTTAGACTATGAATGTAAGTCTTTCATACTTCTCAGCTGAGCAGCCCCCGCTGTAAAGCCTCTGGCCCAAAACTGACCAGACCAGTTTTAGTTACCCTGAGAGAAATGTTTGTGTGTAACCAAAGTCACTCAGACCTTAACGCTTCCCTGAACCTCTTAGATGAATACTATGAAATAATATTGCCAGGAAACCTGCAAAGCACTATCATGTAAACTAACGTTAGACTGGGTCAGAGGAAGATGAAATACTCTCAGAATCCCTCATGTGTGGTCATATATATATAGATTTTTTTAGTTACATCATCACATTTATTTTATTTTATTGTTAATCTTAAAGCCCTGTTTTAACATGTGCTTTATAATTCTCATTATGGTCTAATGTCACTTTAAGGTTACTTCCTGATGATGTCACATGTCATCAGGCAGATTCTGGCATGTCTGTTTCCCTGTAGTAGTGGAAAAAGTTATTGGTTCTTCCTCCATTTTCTTTACTGCTTGTTTCCTCAGTTCATTTGCATTGAGCAATCTTTATTCCTACAAAAGAGATTCACAAAGCTGTAATTCTCAGGTGTACATGTTTGCTGTGCAGTCAAATAGAGTCTGTTAAAGTAAAAGGCATTATCAGCAGCCAGGATCTGATGTAATACAACACATCTCCCTCCCTCTAACTCTAACTCTTCTCCTCTCCCTGCTTGACTAAAATAGGCCAGCTTTGAACCATGTGACCGTAGGTGACTGGAGAAGAAGGCTTACACACAATTACAATGACACACCTACACACTTAGCCAGGTGTGTCTCTATTTACAAAGAGCAGCAACGTCTAGTTGTAAAATTTTGAAACACACTTGAATTTAAGTACCCTCAAAAGAGAATATAGACAATCTCATCACTGATGTGTTTTTACAGATAAAACATGTGTATGTGCATTTGTCAAAGTGCCTCAATCAGCTGAGTGTGTCTCCTCTTCACTCACTCCTCTGCAGTGTCCTTGACTGCACTCTTTGACACACAGTCAGCGCGTAGCGGGCACCCAAAGCAGCGTTCAGATAGATAGATAGATAGATAGATAATTTATTGATCCCGAGGGAAATTCAAAGCATCCAGTTGCAGGTTACAAGACGTACATGACATGAAACGTTCAGTCAGTGTGTGTAAGCTAGAGGAGGAAAAAAGAAAGGTACAGGAGAGGGCAGTGTGGAGGACAGTACTTTTCCACATGGCGGGGCTGTGTGTGACCAACATCATGGACATATACACACAACAGAGTCGGGTTTCAGGGCTTCCTCAAACAGTGTGTCAATGACGTGGAAAAGGAGGCATTGTTGAGGGGAGGAATGCAAACAGAAAGGAGAGAGAGAAGGAGAAAAGGGAGGGGGAAGCAGAGGGCAGAAATAGAGAGAGTGATCTCTTCCTGAAACTTAAGCCTTCTGCGGGCGTTGCCAGAGAAAGTTGTGTCAGAGGTGTGTTTGGGGGAAACATGGCCCTTACAGACTCGTGTGTCCAAAGCATACAGGCTTCAGGTCGCCTCACCAGGGAATGTCATTTTGCTCCGCATTAAACTCTGATTTTGGTTGAAAATCTTATCATAAAACGAAGAAAAGTTCAATATTTCCTCTGAAAGATAAATATATATTATGTTCATTGTGCACTGTATTCCCTCTACAAGCAACAGCAGAGATACTGTATCCCTCAGAGCAATGTGAGATCAGATGATGAAGAGCAATGCTAAAGTGCTTAGTCATGGTTTTTAAGCTGAGGAGTGCTGAGTCATTTGTCATTTCCTCCAGCAGAAACTAAATTGTGTCCTGGCTCAGAGAATCTCTTAGCTTTTATAGACACATATGGACAATGGCTGCTTTTAATCCCCTCTGTAACCTGTCACATCCCTGGTCAGCTGGGAGCACTTTGTTATTTAAGTAGACTGGCCAAGAAGGCATTCTCATTCAATTAGCTTATTAGGAACACATTCTTATTTTAACCCGGTCATTTGAATACAAATTGAAGTGCTTGATGCATCATATAAACTGGTGACCTCACAGAGGACAGAGACTGCATTTCCACTGCAGGAAATTTCTCGAGGGGACTAGGAACTTTTGAAGACCATTAATACATTTCCTCGCAGAGACCAAGGTTCCAACACAGTCCAAAGCTATTTCTAGGGCTGTCTTTGTTAACCTTGATGCAATTAAGGTGAGAAATTAATGCATACATTTTTTTTAAATAGTGTTCACTGGAATCAAAAATATAATCCCAAGCTATTTTGTCCCTTTTGTTTGCTGCACCAGTTGATGGAAAACAATGACCCAGTGTGCGTTTTGATGGCTAATTTCACTTTTCTTTAACTCCCAGATGGCTCAGTTGAAGAGTCAAAAGTAAAATGCAATGTATAATATATGCACTAACATGTAACAGTGTTATACTTTCAAAAACAAAAAACAAAAAAAGCACCGTATTTCAGCGAATAAGCAGCTTTGAAGCGGACTCCTGTACCTCAATGTCATGGTGTCAGACCACACTGAAGTGACACTTAAATAATAATAATGATAATAATGATAATAAACAATAAATATAAAGGTCAAGATCATACTGTAAATTATTTTGTATTTATTTGGTTCCCAAAATGAGACATCGACAAGAATTGCCTTACATTGTTAATACTTAAAGGTCACATATTATACTAGTTTACAGCCAGTTTTAAAGTTTTAAAGTCTCAGAGCTCCCCAAACAATGTATGTGAAGTATGCGAAGAATCCAATATTTATGATCAAAAAGTGCACATTTCAAGGATTAATCATCACTCAATGTCGAGCTATAATGTACCATATTCATATACAGGCAATGGTTGTTATGCAAAGGTAAAATGGAATTGTGATGTGTTCTTGAATTAGCATTTCTTGAGGACATGGTTACCTTGAATGAGCATCAGCCTCAAGAAATTTCTGTTAGATGAACTGAATCACATCAGCGAACTAAAACAGTGATCCACAAACTGCACAGAGCTGCAGACTGAACTATTGATTATCAATGGAATCACCAGGACTTCCAGCCATTCCACATTACAGGGATCATTTGCTCCGACGTCACTGTCATAAAGATTGAACATAAACAAGGTGTTATTTAAAGAGAAGTGCAATGTTTCTGTATAGATATGTGCATAGCTTGAATTAGTGCATTTTTCTTGATTGTCTGTAATCTTGTGCAGTATAATTGAAAGAAATAGATGCTGGGCAGGCTGTAGTGTCATTGTGCATGTTGAAGCACAGATGTGTCAGTGTTTTAAAATGTCTCTAAACCTCAGAGAAAACACATGTAAGGTTTTCTGTATTCTGTTATGATCCATTAGGTATAGAGTATAAACACATCTTACTTCTTGAGTTTTTGATGGTGAGAGGTCACTTTAACTCAGCTGTGGGCTCCTGTATGACAAGACGATGTGTTAATGAATTTTCAAATCATAAGGAGATGCTACATTTAGACAGATTATATGGAATTTACCACCTGCACAAACAGAGAAGATAACATCTGGACAACGTTCTTCTCGGGTATTTCATGCTCTGTTGATGTCAATTCAACCTGTTTATACCATTCAGCATGGATAATCAGATCAATAATGTCTGTGGAACCTTCCAGTTGTCATTTAATGTATGATGAAAGCCAAATTGACAGCCTGGCAGAGTCCCTTTTATGTTTCATTGATGTTTCTTTTTCTATAGCTCTTTCATGAGCTGCTATTTGTCAATAATAATGTGATGTTGTTTTATGTGTAAACGTTGGTTGTATACCTCATGTCATAAAACTCAATTGACACACATTATATCCTGTTAGTACACTCACACCTAAACTGTCGCCATTGTCCTAAACCAGTTATAACCTTTGTGGAAAATACAGTTAATGTGTGACTCCTTAAACAGGAAGTTACAAAATTCCAGTGTGATGTCTGTTACAGTAAGAAGTAGGCTAATCCTGATACATTGTCACATGGACATCTGAGTAAATACAGGCATTATTCTTTGTCTATGTTAATCATGTTAGCATGTATGTTTAAATCACGCTGACCGTTTGAGTATTTTATCTCTGCACTTTATATCTAGCATATTCTTGTTGTCTTTGTCATGAAACCAATTGACGGTAATCCAGTTAAGGGTCCCACGAGGGACAGTAAGAGTTAATCCTCCTACAGTCATCTTGAACATGACATTTAACTTTGTGTCTGCTGCTCACAAATGAAGTGAGTCTTTGCTTTATAAGAGAGTGTGATGCAACAAAGGATTTCACCAAGATTGTTTAACATCCTGTTCTGTAAGGCCAGAGACCTCAGACTGTTTTGTGTTGTATCTGTGACACGTTGTACAGTGTGCAGTTTTATCAGGTACTCTGCCTGCTTAAGATCTACAGCATGTTTAGACGTGCTGATTGGAACTTTCACCTATATGGCAGCGCAAGAAATCACTTTTTCATTCTGAGCGTTAACACAATCAAAAGACTGCCTGAAAGCAGATGAAAAGAAAAATAGGGCCTAAACATTAAAAGCCTACTGTGAAGTAATGGTACAGGCCTGTTCAACCTATACCTGACTAATGCATGGCTTATGCGGATTTAATGGGGGATATAGCCTATCAAACAATCATGGCACTTTGACTTTAAAATCTGTTCTAATAAAAAACTTAAAAGGCAGTAGGTATGCCTCTGGAAGCAGGAAGCAGGAACATCAATAAAGCCCATCATACTGAATGTATGTTTAATTTATAAATGTTTCATTTGATAGTTTGTTTTAATTGAAGATCTTTCATATTTCTATTTCAGCTATGGTTCTAATTTCAGATAGGCTATGTTAAAAAAACAGGAGTCTGTCTGACATAAACAATCACGTTACTGAGTATGCTAATTTACTGCACTTAGTCATGGATTAAATCGAGTTATTCATCAAAGAGGCAGCATTGTCATTTGAGTTGGTTGTACCATTATGTTGTATCTGTCGCTGAACCAAACAAATAGTAACGTAGGTTACACACTCAACCAATCAGAGGGAGTCCTGAACGCATGCGCATCTTTTATCCAATCAGACGAAGTCTTTGCTCACCCGCCAGCTGTCCACGTTAATTATCTTCGAATTGGTGACGACTCGGTGTCACACGATGGCGTCCAGTGGAGGAAACAAGGAAAACATGGCTGATGGAAAGACTGTTGAAAATGAACCACGTTGCTGATATGTTGAATTATTATCGATTTAGAGGATGCAACGTGTTACAAACACAGGCGGCCAACAGTTTAATACGTGTTGAGGAGCTAAAAGTCCTTGGAGCAGTAAGTTAAAGCCCAGATAATATCTCTTCATGTCTGTTTCCCAATACTTGCAGTTTGTGCAGGTCAACACTGTTTTGTACCTTCATGGTGACAGGACTTTATTTGAGACTCTCTTACTCCATCACTGTCATAGACCTACCTGATGTGTCTTACCCTAAATAGAGTCATAAGTCATCTCCATCTTTGCAGCATTACTGCCTGGATTGAGTAGGCCTCTTCCTGGTCTAACTTTGAACCCCACTGGTGATGCTGTGCTTTTATTACATTATGACAACTGTATATTAGGTGTATCAAAAGAATATCCACAGTTGTTTCGCAGTAAGGCAATAAACTAGGCCCTTTTATGAGTGACTGTATTACTTTGATAACTTGAGTTTCATTTCAGTCAGGTCAAGAAGTGTAGCTATCGTCATTGATCAATGAAACCCAATATGATGGGGACATCATATTCACTGTCTAACTTTGCTCCCAAAAAATAAAGGCAATGTTATTTGCAAATACAGTAAAACTCTGTCACTTACAGTAATACACTGAAAGGTAATTAACCAGTACACGCATGTGTGAATGGGTTTGGGTCTGGATGGTATTGTGTGGCTCTTGGTATTGATCAGAGGTGGAAAACAATTGGTATGATATTCTGTGTGGGAATAATGTGTTCTTCGGTAGATTGTTGCATTATTTTGTAGAAGATTTTTTTTTTTTTTTAATTGCCCTTTTCAGTTCACAAGACGGTGCTGTGTTATATTCAAAAGAAGAACAGCTTAAATTTGAAGATAACAGACTTGTTTTTCTATTCACAGATTGATAAGTACCTGTACTCCATGCGTTTCTCTGATGAGACGGTACTGGACATCACACAGCGGTTTCGGAGAGAGCTGGCCAAAGGACTTGGTCGGGACACTAATTCCACTGCTGCACTGAAGATGCTGCCAACATTTGTACGGTCAATCCCTGATGGATCAGGTTAGTTACTCTAACCCTTATTGTAAATATAGTCGGGTAATCTGAAACCAAACGGTTGAAGCACTTTATGTAATGAAATCAGTATCAACACAGGTTTGCCTATTTTATCTCTTTATAAATAAATCAGCAAGATTAGGAATCTAAGTAAGCTTTAAAATACCTTATTTACACTAATAGATATGTCATCATGACCAATGTTTGTCAACATGGAGCTTTAGATCCCAGTCGGCATTTAAAGAGAAAACGATTGACAAACTCTTGCAGACATAGCCACATAGATGAAGATAGTGGGAATTAATGGATACTGGGCATTAATGGATACTGGGCATTAATGGATAATGGGCATTTACAGTAATCTAAATGCTCGTGTACTTGCATTACCTTGTGAACTGAACGAGTACTCAGATACTCACTGGTTATATAGTTTTTTACTGTAAAAAACAAAAAGTCAGACACGGACCTCTTGGTGGTCCTCTTAAGTTTTCTGTGGTGTGTCTCATCAGTACTGTGTGTCTGGAGGACGGCAGTCTTCAAAGCCCTGTTCTGAATGAGAGCTGAGAGCTGTCCAAGAGTCTGTAGGAACACACATAAAGCTGTTTTGCACAATTCTGCTGCATCTTTTCCACTCACGTAGCTGTTGTTCTCCCTAATGGTGTCTTGCACTCCTGCTGCACAAATGCCATCAGCTCCTTCCATAAAACTTAATTGGAGCATATTTCCAGTAACTGTTATTTTGTTATCAGCTTGTCTGGACATGAGTCATCTTCTTCTCTGGTATCATCACAATGACGTCTCTGCTGGTTTCTCCTTGTGCTCTAAACTCATTTGGCTTAGTTGGTTAAACATTGAATTAGTATTTCTATGATAGGCGTGAGGTATTTATGAGACTGTAAGAAAGGTGTATATAAGCATACTCCCTTGAATACAAGGTAGCGTATTAGTCACATAGTGATCTTGTGAATGGTGAATAAATGGCTCTGTTACATTTCAGTCACTAAATATTACTTACTGTATGTCAGTGAGTGCGGAGGAAAAGCTGCAGCCTGTCAGTGATTATAGGGACTGTAATATTGAGTTTGTTTGTATAGTTTGCGTAGGCTTACAGAAGCTTTGGCAGGGGAATGGAAAAAGCCTGCATCAGTTATCTCTAATTATAGTTATTTTATTATGCACAGATAACGCCTAACATAATTACAGTGTGTGTCCTCACTCTGTGTCTTTTATTCCTACGGACGAACAGAATAACAAAATAAATTAAAAAAAATGGAAAGACTGGAATTAAAAAGAAGTACCATGATTGCACCTGCCTGTAGTTGTTTCTACTAGCTACTCTGCTTTACTCACATTCCTTTCTGATTAAATATCTCTGACCTGACCTTGTGTTCTGATCTGCAAAAAAAAGTTGCAACAGCATATCATTAAAATATGAAACTACACTGCTGGGTACTTTGAATTTATCTTATAAAAAATAGAACCTGTACTTAGAAACAAGTTTGACATTTCAGAGAAGTGTGTAAAAATGTAATCTTTGTAAGGTTGCCTCAGTCATCTGACTTGTATGACGTCTGTTATGTACTTTTTTAATGAGCACTGGAGTTGAAGAGTTACACTTTGATTTGTTAGTCCTGAATGACTTTGGATAATAGATTAAGATTAGATTTAACATTTGACATTAAGGGAGTAATCCTAATCACAGCTCAACAGCCATAGTCGCACAGCACACTGTCTACTCAATACAATGTTATCCAATTATGAAAATCAGGTTGGTTAGACAAAATAACTGCTTTCAATGTTTAGGACATGTTATTTTATCTGAGCCTGTCATTGTTTAAAGAACACAGTCCTCTAGTGCAGGTTCGCTACTTGCTTGCTCACAGTTGTAATGTGACTGTTGGATTTACTCATAAAGATTAAGATTTACTTTATGGCTCCCACAAGGGGAAATAAAGGTAATTTTTGATAAGCTCTTGATCTGGTGATATGGCTCCTGTCTTACCTGTGGTGTGGTTGAGCAATCATTAACCAATAACTGCACAGGAAGTTCAGCTTGCAGAAATGATCTTAGTGCATCTAAGATACACCTGCCAGCATACACATATAGAAACACTTAATGGATGAATATAGAAATAACCTTAGATTGTTTTCTAGATTAGATTAGTGAATTGAATGACTATAGTCCACAGCTTCAGCAGAAGAAAAAACAAAAGAAGCTTGCTAAAACAGCTTTTTGTTTCCATGCACATTATTTTGTTTGCTGCAAAATGTGACATTAGTCCCCTGTACAGTAATACTGAGCGCTGTATTTAACACAAACACTTCTGTCTGATTTTTCTTTCCCCGTCCTTTCCTATCTTTTGCCTTTCTGTCTTGACAGAGAAGGGAGACTTCATTGCGTTGGATTTGGGAGGCAGTAACTTTCGCATCCTCAGAGTCAAAGTGAGCCACGAGAAGAAACAGACGGTTCAGATGGAGAGTCAGATCTATGACACGCCAGAGGACATCATTCACGGCAGTGGAACACGGGTTGGTATTTAAGCTAAAATAAAGACAGAAATACACACACGTCTCTTCAGCTAACCTAAAGCATACCTCCCCCTCTTTTCTACCTCTATCCCAGCTGTTCGACCATGTGGCAGAGTGTCTCGGGGACTTCATGGAAAAACAAAACATCAAAGACAAGAAACTTCCAGTGGGATTTACCTTCTCCTTTCCCTGCCAGCAGACCAAACTAGATGAGGTTAGTTGAATACAAATTCAAGAGTAGTCTTCTTGATAGTACAGCTTTCTATATAGTCAACTCTTGTTTGTGACACATGTGACAGTGATTACCATGTTTGTGATTACCATGCAGTTCTGAAACACAGAGTTGTAACAGAGACTCTTTTGAGCATAAAATCTTTATTTTCTTTTATAACTTCCTTATGGCTCTCCAATCGTTTGTTTCCAGAGCTTTCTGGTCACATGGACAAAACGTTTCAAGGCCAATGGAGTGGAGGGAATGGACGTCGTCAAACTGCTCAACAAAGCAATTAAGAAAAGAGGAGTGAGTCTTGTCTTTTTTCTCATTTAGACTCATATAATGACAGACTTTAGCTCTGAAGTCTGAGGGCATCAAATGGTTCATTCTAATACAGTTTCATTCAGCAAGCCTGTTAAAATACATTGTTATATATGTGCACTTTTAGGACTATGACGCTGACATCATGGCAGTTGTGAATGACACTGTGGGAACGATGATGACTTGTGGATTTGACGACCAGCGCTGTGAAGTCGGCATTATCATCGGTACTACAGCTAAGTGTATTTGAAAGGACGAGGGATCAATTGAATTCAAAATGTATCGTATTGTTATAAATTAGACTCTGAGAACCAATCAAGAAGCAAAATGGCAATTGTATAGCTTATTTAAAATAAGCTGTGAGTACCAACCACTTTGCATTTATCAAGAAAATAACTGCTGTCAGTTAAAATGATAAACATAACAAATGTTAGATATAAATATACGGGTGTTTTCTTTGTATTTAGGTACTGGTACCAATGCCTGCTACATGGAGGAGCTGCGTCACATTGACCTCGTGGAGGGAGACGAGGGCAGGATGTGTGTGAACACTGAGTGGGGAGCTTTTGGAGATGACGGCAGGCTGGAGGACATCAGGACAGAGTTTGACAGAGAGATAGACAGAGGATCCCTGAACCCCGGAAAACAGCTGTATGTCAATCTGAAACTAATTCATACAGACTTTTTCATTCCTGAGATGATATTAATAATCTGATATCTTAATAATCCTGCAATGGAACCACAGAGTCTGCTATAATTAGCTCTCAGAAGCTCACACAGTTTTTGTAAGGTGTTCTCTGTAGGATAAAGCTCAAAACAATTTGAATCATCCATATTTCCTTATATCACAACAAAAAACATAACAATAAACAGGTATTGATTACTTATTTGAATTTGTATAAATGTACCTACAATCCTGCTGTTTAAGAAGAATGCAGCTCATTTGAAATGATCCTGTGTTTACAAAACATGAGAAGAAGTCCTGTTCTCTGTTAAAGATAAACTTTATTGATCCCGCATTTGGGGAAATTTCTTGTTACAACAGCGCAAAAACAGTCGTATAATTAGTAAATAGCAAAAAGTTAAAAAAACAAACATTTACATTAATTAAATAAAGCAAGAAATTACAATAGAGATAAAATAATGAGAAGAAGAGAAGAAAAGACTCCTTGTTGGCTCTCTGTCAGCTCCTGTTTCTTTTCCCAGATGGGAGGAAAAGTATGTTTTCTAAAAACAGTTTGGTGCCTGTAGGCTCACCATAATGCAAGGATGCACATCATCATAAAAACTACTGCTAAAAACTATAAATACTATGGTACACCAAATATCATTAGAAACTATGGTAAAACAGATTAGTCCAGAGCATAGGACATTTAACCAATATAATTTAAGGTTCCATTTTCTGTTCCTTTGTATGATAGATTTGAGAAGATGGTCAGTGGTATGTACATGGGGGAGCTGGTTCGTCTCATCCTAGTGAAGATGGCGAGAGAGGGCCAACTGTTTGAGGGAAGGATCACACCTGAGCTGCTCACAAAGGGGAGGATTGAGACCAAACACATCTCAGCCATAGAAAAGTGAGTCACACTACATTTCATTTCACTTGTTTCCTTAATGGAGCAGTTCTATAAAAACTTTGAATCATGTATATTTCTGCTGCATCACAGCTTCTCTCTCTTTGTTTTCTGTTTAGGAGTAAGGAGGGGTTGAACAAAGCCAAAGAGATTCTTATCAAACTTGGTGTCGATCCTACCACTGAAGACTGTATTGCTGTGCAGCATGTGTGTATTACAATTGTTTTTGTTATTATTATTGTTGTTTTATTATTATACTTTTTTGAAGTATCAGTAATATTCAGTGTTTCTTTTTAGATGCTTCAATTACGAGTCATGATCATAAAAAAATATAAACTACAGAAGTTTAAGTATCTGACCTGAGGTTGACTGAAAAAAAGTTGATTAATTCAGGTGCTTTCTGTTGATTAAATAAACATTTGAATGTGCTGATTGATAAATCGCTCTCCTCCTCTTCAGGTTTGTGCCATTGTGTCTTTCCGCTCTGCAAACCTGATCGCAGCCACACTGGCAGGCATCCTGATGAGGATAAAGGAGAACAAAGGAGTGGCACGACTGCGAACCACTGTAGGCATTGATGGATCTCTATACAAGATGCACCCACAGTGAGTCACCAAAGAATTTAATAAAATACCAAAATGTATGCTTTACGTAGTCTTATCAACACAAAAGATTTTTAATTGTATGTTAGTCATTGCTTTGTACCTTCCATAAAAGTGATCGAGAAATGGTGTTACACGTCTTACTGAATATCTGACATTATGTTAAGTATGGACTTTCTGTAGACCACATTTCTTATTAAAAATGCTTATAAGAAGCCTTGTGTGTTTTAGATATGCGCGTCGTCTCCATAAGACAGTCCGTCGCTTGGTACCGGACTGTGATGTCCGGTTCCTCCTGTCAGAGAGTGGAAGTGGAAAAGGGGCCGCCATGGTGACGGCGGTGGCTTACCGACTTGCTGAACAGTCGAAACATATTGCCCAAACACTTTCTGAATTCCGCTTGACGAAAGAACAGCTGCTTGAGGTGAGGAGAGAAAGATTGTGAATGATGTGATTTATGTTTTCAGGCATCTGTCACTGTACAGGAGTTCACAACATCAGTTACATTTGGGGATTTCTTTTGTTTAGGTAAAGAACCGGATGAGGATAGAGATGCAAAACGGCCTTTCAAAGAGCACTCAGGACTCGGCTACAGTCAAGATGCTGCCAACCTTTGTACAAAGCACTCCTGATGGCACAGGTGATACGCACAGGCTCACACACAAACTTACACATAAGTAGGTGTCTTTATGTTTAAGCTAGTGACTTTTATGTGTGGGCGTGAGCAACTGATATCATTACACAGCAGATAAGCAGCTTATTTCAGCTGACTAACTATGTCACATCTCTATGTGATTGACAGAGCTCTCAGCCAATAAAAATGCACAATCCCTGAACTGCACTGATGCCACTTTTGATCAAATTTCTTACCCTTGAGGAGTTTTTGTGCAACTTCAAAATGTTTTCATACTTGTTGCCACACAGCTATTTCTTTTCTATTTTATTATTGTGTTTTTATACCAGGGACCATTCACAATAAGGGATGTTATACAAGATAAGAAAAAGCGCTTCATGAATGAACATTTCAGGGGAAAAACCTATTCCTACCAAATATTAAATTCATATCCTCAACTTTTAATTTTGTTCTGTAAACAGAGTATATCTGTGAGGTGTTTTATACACGGCTAATGTTAAATTAATTAATCTTTTCCTTTATTTGTCTGCCTGCCTTTTATCCAGAACATGGGGATTTCCTGGCATTGGATTTAGGAGGAACCAACTTCAGAGTTCTGTTGGTCAAGATTCGCTCTGGCAAAAGGAGAACAGTAGAAATGCACAACAAGATCTACGCTATTCCTCTAGAAGTGATGCAGGGCACAGGAGAGGAGGTGAGAACTGTCAGCTGTCAGCCCTAAAATCTGTGGTGAAATGTTCAGGGTGACGCAGACAATGCACATGAGGGAAGAACATTGAACTAAACTGTGTTGGCACTGTAAATGTAAGGGTAGTAAGTCGTGTGGGAGGTCAGGGGTGTGATCCTTGTTGGCTCAGAGATAAGTAGATCAAAGGGAAGCATGGGAGAAGGTCGGTGGTTAAAGGGAGTCAGAAATAGAGGTTGGTTAAGATTAGTGTTGAATTGACTGTCTGTAAAACAAAGATTTGAACTTGTGTTCTCTGACTGAAGCTTAACCTGTCTCGAACCTTTGGCCTTTCACCCTCACTCTCATTCCTCCCCCTGCTTCTCTGCCTCCTGATGTACATGGGACAAGAAAGTCAGAATAGAAATGGCACAGTTTTATAGTAATACCACAGATGTTTTTTCACTTATTTTACCTGACTCATACTTCCCCAGACAGTTCCCTTTATCTCGCACACTTCAACATTTTATGAGCATCTTGTGGCCTTATTAACCACTTCCTGCCATATTTCTTCACATCTTCAGAGTTTCAGTAAAATACTGCAGAGAAATAACCACAATCATAAGAAAAACAGCAAAGGTAAAAAAGGTTTTAAAAAAAAAAGTAACAGAAAAGCTCAGTTGTGTGCGTGCTGTTCCTGAATATGATGGTTTACATTTCTTAGATACTTTGCACATGAAATACCTCTATATGTAGTGGCAGCAGGATGAGTAAATGGAGGCAAATTAAGTAACACAATCAGCAGGAAAGAGAAAAATGAGAATGGGAGAGAAGGGAGGGTAGATGTGAGGAGGGCTACCGATCAAGAGTGTCTTTTCAATGATTCCTGAACCGTGCATCTGTTTTTTTTCTAGTTTTAGAACTGACTTAAACCTTGTGAATCCAGCACGATTGAGATGGAGGGGTTGATGATTTCCAGCTAAATAAACCCGCAGACTAACAATGTTGGGAATGCTTTTAAATCTGATTGATGCCTTGATATTCTACTGTTGCTAGGAGCAACCCCAAAAGTTGTCATGATGAGATGAGATGAGATTCAACTTTATTGTCATTACACATATACAAGTATAGAGTAACAAAATGAGGTTTGGCATCTCACCAGAAGTGCAAATAAGCAGAAAGTGCAAGAGTCTGTGCTATGTACAGTAATTACAAAATTTACAGATGTAGACTAAAAAAAGTGAATTATTAGGTATATCTGGATGGCTGGATTAATGGGATGCTATAAATATAAATAAATGCTATAAATAAGTAATGCTACAAAATAAGTGTATTCTTAGGATTATAATATACAGATTAAGGTGCAGTGAGCATGCTATACTAATAATATACAGATTAAGATGCAGTGAGCATGCTATACTAGTTTACAGATAATATAAAGAATATGGACATAATATGAACATACTATAATACAATAATACAGATGGATGAGAGATGTGTGTGTGTGACCAGGAGGAGTGGTGGGGGGATGATGGGTGTGAGGTGATATGGAGGGGAAAGGGGGGGGTCAGCAGGGGGCGGAGAGAGAGAGAGAGAGAGAGAGAGAGACAGAGTTCAGAGTTCGGGGGTAGAGTTCAGTAGAGAAACAGCTCTGGGGAAAAAGCTGTTCCTCAGTCTGCTGGTTCTGGTCCGGAGGCTTCTGAAGCGCCTGCCGGAGGGCAGGAGGGTAAACAGTCTGTGGGCAGGGTGGGAGGAGTCTTTAAGGTAGCCGCGCTATCGCCAGCCGATAGTCTGTCATTTCACATATGAGGTTGTGTTGAAGATGTCTGACCAGAATTTGTTTATTTTTGGGCATGCCAAAAACCTGTGGTACAAAGTAGTAGGGATGATGGCATCTGATACAACTTGATGAACCAGGAAATATCCTCTAGTAAAAACATGTAGGTTGGTCTTATAAAGGAGAGGTGTTAAAACTCAGACTACAAGAGTTTTTGCCCCTGGATAAAAGGAGAAATCTGGTTTACATCCTCGGCTGATATCACAGTTTGATCAAGTGAATTAAAGGTTTTACAGATCCAGTCCCAAACCTCCTAAATGGTTACAGACTCATCAGGGTGTCCCCATATTAGCAAAGATTTTAGATTTTAGTTATAGGTTAAAAGCTGAATTACTGCACAGGTACTTCCTGAGCCAAACAAGGCACCCTGAGGCTAACATACAGCTAACTGAGTTACTGGATTATGAAAGTAGCTCGTTACTTTGGAAAGTAACTTTAGTTTTTTTGTTTTGGTTCAATACTAATTTTAGTGTACACATTTAGTGTTGCTGTGGCAGTGTGTAAGTAAACAACTCGTAAATGTCATACAACATTGTAGCCATTTTCAATTTGTAGGTATTTGGCTAATTAGTTCTCTGATGGCAACAGAATCAACAGTTTATTCATTTATTTTAATGGCGTTATAGAATTTGAAAAGTAACTAGATACCCTTTGTAATAGTGGAATAACCGTAACGTGTTCCTAAGTAATGTGTGAACCCAACACTGGAGATAAGGAGGTGTGATCAGAAGCACAACATGTTTGTGAGGTTTAATCCATCCTGAACAGTGTGGCATCATTCTTCCTTCATGTTTCAAAACAGGCGTAAATGATGCACCTTAAATGAGCCGTGTGAAAAGGGTTTATATCTGTCTCTGTAGAGTCTGGAGGAGTATCTCCTCTCTGTCAGTCAAGATGGGTCAAAGCCTGTCTCCCTGTGTTTGTGACTGCTTAAAGCTGTGTTGGTGCATGGAGCTGGGCTTATTATTGCATTTTGTACCATGTCTCTGTGTGTTGAACCTGGATAAGCCCCGCCCTTGATAGGGAACATGCAAGCAGAGCAGAGACATCGGTCTGATCAGTGAAACGAATAAAAGACAGAAAACTTTTTTTTTTTTAAACGTATTTAACAGTTCTTTATAATTGGACACTGTGAAGGCCTTGTGATTTCCAGTTGTACATTCAGTCATTTACACATTGCAAAAGTAAATGTTAATGAAAGACAAACTGCAGCTTTATATCGCTTGTCCTTTTCCCCCCAGTTGTTTGATCACATTGTGCACTGTATCAGTGACTTCCTGGACTACATGGGGATGAAGAACACTCGTCTTCCTCTCGGCTTCACCTTCTCATTCCCCTGCAGACAGACGAGCCTTGACGCTGTGAGTTCAGAGTCTTCCTTTCTTCCCGATTTTGCACAATATGTGACCTTGAACTTTCAAAAGTTAGACTTGGTTTCGGGTAAATTAGTTTGTTTGAGAGGCACGTGAGAAAAATGAATCTTTAATGTTTTCCCAAAATCTTTCTTCCCGATCAACCCAAGAACATAATTTCTTGAGCGCTGAGTGGACAGTTGACACCTTTTTTTAATGTGTGCGTGCAGGGCATTCTGGTGACATGGACTAAGGGCTTCAAGGCAACAGACTGTGAAGGAGAAGATGTGGTTGGACTGTTGAGGGAGGCCATAAAGAGGAGAGAGGTAGAGTACAACCAACCCGCTTTTTTAAAACTGTAAAAAAAAAAAAAAGAAAAGTGTAATGTTACATCATATTGTGTGTTTCTTCTTAAGGAATTTGAGCTGGATGTGGTGGCGGTAGTGAATGATACTGTGGGAACCATGATGACCTGTGCCTATGAAGAACCCACCTGCGAGATTGGACTCATTGCTGGTTGGTTGCCCTTGTGTTGACTATTTTGGATAAATAATCTACGTTTTCCACTCATCTGAGTTCTGTCAATGTACTGTGTGTGTTTTATTAAAGGCACTGGCAGTAATGCGTGTTACATGGAGGAGATGAGGAACGTTGAGATGATCGAGGGAGATGAGGGGCGGATGTGTGTCAACATGGAGTGGGGGGCTTTTGGAGACAACGGATGCCTTGATGACATTAGGACAGAGTACGACCGTGCTGTGGATGACTTCTCCCTCAATCCAGGCAAACAAAGGTACCACACACACACACACACACACACACACACACACACACACACACACACAGACATGTATATTGTTGATGCTCCTCAAGTCAGAAACACCTGTTAGCATGTTAACCCTTTATTTCCTGGACTCCTATCCCTATATATGACTTTGATTATGTGTGGATGTATCTATATGTTTTTTTATGTGTGTGTTTTTATAGATATGAGAAAATGTGCAGCGGCATGTATCTCGGTGAGATTGTGCGGAACATCCTGATAGATATGACCAAGAGAGGATTCCTGTTCAGAGGACAGATTTCTGAAACACTGAAGACCAGAAGTATCTTCGAAACAAAGTTCCTCTCACAGATAGAGAGGTAAAGAATAGTGGGATGTGAAATGTGTTTATTTGACAGAATCACTGCCAGTAGTGGGCCCCCTTTGTCAAACAGCAACAAATCACTTTTCATATCTCCCTGTTCGGTAACAGATGCTTTTTAACAATAAACTTGAATCTTTTAGGTTGAATTATTATTATTTTTTACCTCTGCCAATTGTAATTTTGTTCTCTTTCTAACTCCAGTGACAGATTGGCTCTGCTGCAGGTGAGAGCCATCCTACAACACTTAGGGCTGGACAGCACTTGTGATGACAGTATCATCGTCAAAGAGGTAAGGCAAAGCGTTGTATCAAGTGCAGTACATAATACATATTAAAATATATTTCTTCAAATTGAATCATCATAATGTGTAGCATCAAATCCAGTCTATGCATGCCCTTTAATATTGCAGGATTGTTGTACTAAAAGTCATTTGTTTTGAGTAGGTATACCTACCTATTAAGTGATCAGTGGACACTGAAAAAATCTGAACCCATAGTACATTGCTATCAGGCAGGAATATGTGACTTTACAAAAGCTGACAGAATGTTACATTATATTTATTCTCAATGTTTGTTGATTGATAGACTTTCTGGCTCAGCAAACTGTGGCACCAACAGTCTGTTAAGTGTTGCAATAATGATAAAGTTTTCATTGTAATACAGGTATGTGGAGCTGTGTCACATCGGGCAGCTCAGCTGTGTGGGGCAGGAATGGCGGCTGTGGTGGATAAGATCAGAGAGAACCGAGGTCTGGACCATCTGAACGTCACTGTAGGGGTGGACGGGACTCTCTACAAACTACATCCTCAGTGAGTAGAAAGACACTTTCACCTTATTTACATGACAACTGTTGGTCATCCCTGAGGTGAAACGGCCATTTAGAAAATATGCAAATATACATACAAACAAAGGCAAGCTCAACCAGTTGTGACAACTTTATTTTGAGTACATCCAAGACTTAACCACTTCTAGTTTTTCTTCTTTGACCAGTTTTACATTGATTCATAAACAGTACGGCTCTGAATTTACACCTGAACTTATTTAAAGAATGTTATTTGTACCCTTTGGTCATGTTCGATGTAGCACATAGATTAAGCACATGCAGTAGATCATGTAACAGCTTGACATGTATTGTCATACAAGTATTAACATGTATTGTCATTTGTCATGCAAATACAGCAATGCTGTCTAACTTGTTATCATGTTTCTCACTGACTACCTTTTTAAAGCCAGATCTCCACCTTCTCAATGTTGCACCCAATCTGGCTCGTTTTTCTTCTTTTCTCTTTAATAATATGGCAAATGTTTTCTCTTTGCCAGTTTCTCGGGGATCATGCACCAGACGGTAAATGAACTGGCTCCTCAATGTAATGTCAACTTCCTGCTTTCAGAGGACGGTAGTGGGAAAGGAGCTGCACTCATCACAGCCGTAGGCTGCCGGCTGAGACAGGAGCTTAACAATAAATAGAAATGAACTCCTGTCTCACTGTTGACCCCTCACTTCTCTGTGTTCCTTCTCCGTCCACCTGCTCTCTCAGCCCCTTTTTTTTTGTCCCTTCTCCTCCTTCATCGCACCAGTCCAGAAAATGCATTACGCTCCTGTGGCTGCATTAGCTCATCTATATGACACAGAGAGGAGATCTTCCTCTGCTGTATTAGCAGACTGTCAGGTACTGTGTTGTAATTAGTGTTTGTTTGATTAACCATCATAACAATACCCAGATTTGATCATTTTTTGTTATTTCTGAGTTGAAACTTCAGGCACATTTAGCTCCAGGGCAGAAAAAGTTCCATCACTCCTATAATGCTCCAATGAGCAGTTTATCATCGCCATCTAGAGGATCACTCTAATAACTGCAAACTGTTCAAGTAAAACAGTTGCAAGACAATAACCAAAGGCAGAAAAATATTTATTCTTGCAAAATGCTCAGTAGATGCAGGAACATGAAATAATACAGTTTTAGACCAAAATCACCAAAGTGGGTCTACTGTATGCTTCTCACCACAGCCAGACATAAAGAGATATATGACATGATGTATGATAAAAGGGAATATTTTTGATTTAAAATGTTAATATCTTACCCAGATATAAAACAATGTGATAAATACCTTGTTGCTATTTATTTTATTTTTATATTTGGAGAGGTCGAAAATGTTACTGTTGCAATAGACTATTATCAGAGTCCCTTCAGTCTGTACCCATTCTTTAATGGAGTGTTTGATGAATCACATTAGTGCAGAAACAAGACATGCTTGATCTGCAGGGAACACCATGTCACATGCTTGCTGAGAATTTACATTTAGTGTAATTTATAACAGCAGTTTTATTCTACTCTAATCAAATCTACTGTAACATTTTCCCCAAGAACTGTTTTATTTTTGTAAGTAAAATATCTGGTTCTTGATACTAAGCACAACCAGGAGTTGATGAATAGAAGTTGTCGTTACTCCAGAGTGAGACTAGCTGATTATTGAAAAACAGCCATGAAACAGGACTGTGGTGCTAACATGGAAGTCAGTGGATCAAAAATGACAATACTGTATGAGAAGAATATTTAAAGGGAGGGAAACTTACAGGAGAATTTAAATATTTTGGAACTAAATTGTGTCCCTGTAGTCACTCACTGTAATTCACATGATCCTGCAGACTGGGGAGGGGGCTTAAGGGAACTGTTGTACACATTCTTAGGAAACATTCATGCAGAGTGAAATATTTATTTTTCTCTATATTCTTAAATAGTTGTATTATAACTATGATTGATGCTTATTAAGAAAGATGGAATCTTTCACTGGCTTTCTTCATTGTAGGGTCAAGCCTTTTTAAAACCTAAAACTTAGACTTCAACTAGTCAACTTGTTCCTATTTTAAGGTCAGGGCAGGTTACTGTTGTTGTGCAATGAGGGGTCTTCCACGTGCTGCTGTACATTTTACTGCCGTTGTCGTAAACCCAGTTGCAGTTGTGACGTGTGGGGATAGATAAGCATAGACCCACCCTAAATCTAATGCATTTAGGGAATCCTAGAAATCACTGCAAACAAACTGAGCTTCCATTCCCACTATTACTCAAACGGCCAGAAGAAAAGAGGTCAGCCTCTACTGCAGGTTTTAAGCTACCCTGCCTTCAGACTTCCCTCAAATGTAGAAAACTGAAGCCCTCACACTCCACAGAAACTTAAAATCTCTTCATTTTCCTCTGCTGACAAACACAGACTGTATCCGTCCAACACTGTCAATCAAAGTCACTAAATAAAGACAAACCTGTGTCAATATATTGTGGTTGTTTTCTTCTCAAATCCTTTACAGTGGACTGTGTTCAGTTCAGTGCTGCTATAAATGTATTCAGAGGTTGTTTTTACTTTATTTAACACTTAGTGAAAAACTCTCAGAGCATTACACACATACACATACTGTCACATTTAAGAACATGTCAACAATGATAAGCTGTCTCAAAATGTCACTGTGCGTATCTGTTAAAGTAAAAATGTTTCATTAATATCACGAGCCAACTGTCGAGAACATTACACAAATCCAGTTTTTTACATTGCGTATACTCAGTTGATGGTACATTTCACATTACACAGCATTTTCTTAGAACTATTATACACTGTATAACTGTACACCATGTTCAAGGAATAGTGCTATACCTACAGAAACATCCAGAAAGTGCTGAGAAATAAGACTCATTTAAGATAGTTTTTTGATTTAAAATATACAATGGTCAATATCGATGATGATGTCGATATAAGAAACAGGAGATGACTTTCTCACTGCTAATGAAAGTGGTGATACTGGTACACTTCAACATGGTATCAATGTGAATAAATGAATGGAAAAATGCCAATAACCTAACTCCAGCAAGTCCACACATATTTAGTTTAAGTTTTCAGCGTTTCATATACGTGTATTTATAATAAGCACCAGGATGTTGTTAGCTCCTATACCCTGAAAAATGAACATGAAATTCAAAAGTTTTCCACATGTTGAACATGTGAAACAATAAATGGTGGAATTCATTAATTTCTTTTCTGTAAGAGAAATTGTAACCTTACTATCAAACCCTGATTAATGCAACATCTCTGCAGTTATAAGTACAGGAGAAAATATCTGAGAAGCTGTCACACTAATGTGTCAAACAGTTAAATTCAAGCATCTCAAACAAGCACTTCACAAGGAACAATATACATTTTAAAATCAACAATGTTACCTTTGAATCACAATGATTGGTAGAGAGGAAGAAAGTGAATAAATCTCTTTCAGTCCACTATCCCAGGCAGTAAAAAGAAACCCAGAAAAACAACAACGTTAAGGCTTGGTGCTGATGCCAGTCGACTGTTCTGTGCTCTAGAAAACCAGAAAACACTGAATAAAAACATCTTAAGGTACACAAACATATTCACAGTTCACAGCTTTTTGCAAAAAACAAACAAAACAGGTAACACTGAAGAAAATATGTAAAGAATGGAGGGAAGAGAAAAGGAATGATGGGCATATTTTTCTTCAGATTTTTACAACACTTTCTAACAATGCATGAAAAAGCATCTTTTGTTGTATAGTATGTTTATAGCTATACTTACACATAAACATTTGATCACTTTGGCAAGAACAGCTAACATCCATGAGATCGAAAGTCACATTCATTCATCTTCCTCCTTAACAAAAAAAAAGTAAATAATTCAATGTCAAGTCCCATGAACAACTTTTATCTCTACACTTTTCCTTGGTTTAACCTTGGTGTGCTTTACAAATGTTCCTTCTTCTGTGTCAGTCTTTTTATAATTAACTCTGTTGCAGCTTTATGGAAACCAATCTTCCTTCCAATCAACAGTCAGTGGTTGTTCTCCATGAGTTTGTTGGATGCAGATCATGAATGGTCTGGCCTCCTCACAGCGTGTGTGTCATGTGTGCTGTTTCTTCCCAGTGATGTTTGTTTTTGAAGCTGAATGCAAACATCTCTCCCCTTGTCAGTGTTTGTGTCAAAGGTGTTGTTTGCTTTGACGGAGGCGTGTGTGTATGTGTTGTCATTGCGGTGGCTGCGTGTCATGGTGACTCTGAAGGTGTGTGTGTGCTGCAGTTCCATCTTGTCCTCCTCTGACACTTGGATGAAGGGACACCAAGAAAACGCGTGACGGAAACCAGCACGAAACCTGCAGAAAAAGGGGGGAAGTTGGTTTCTCTTTATGGATAATGAAACGTAAGACCTGAAGCTGTTTTTTTTTTTTTAAAAAAATTTTTACCTTTGGTTTAGACAGCAGTAGATGATGGGATTGTACATTGTTGAACTCATCGCCAACCAGAATATGGTCAGATACACCTGACAATGAAAGGAAACATGAGGCCACTCAGTGAATCAATCAAACATTGAAGAGTCAAACAAACAGCTGCTTACCTGTTGAATGTAATGCTGTTTATAAATGTCCTTGTTAAATGACCCCAGTATGAAGTAGATGTGATAGGGCAACCAGCACAGTGCAAACGTCACCACCACAACAATCATCATCTTCACCACCTGTCTCAAATCACAGAGAGGAGAAGAACGACAGTTTTTAAAGTCCACTTTGATATCAGGCAGTTCAGTTCCATTAAGCTAATTGTGTCATGGTAATTTAGCCATCTGATAATATAGAGATTGATACATTAAAAGCCCAGACATAGTAGCAAAATAAAGTCAAGTGACTTTTCTCTTGGCTGTTATCTGGCTGTGGTAATGGTCTGTCGCCTCTCCAGGAATGTGTCCGCCCCACAACGAGCGGCCGACTAAACTGTAGGTCACAAGCATCACCAACAGAGGGAGCAAGTAGATCAGCAAAATCACCGCATACTGGTAACTACAGAGAGAGAGAGAGAGAGAGAGAGAGAGAGAGAGAGAGAGAGAGAGAGAAAATGACTGGTTTATGATATTAATCTGGATGATATAGATCCTCTTCCAATTTAGATGACCTTTCTTTTAAACCAACACCATTCTTAGACTAAGACACTTTAAAAGTTGATAACAAGAATGACAACTGAGTAGATCTTAAATACATGTATTATATATATGTATGTGTATTATAATAACTTCTTGTACACCATATAAATCCTTTACATTTGTATGTTTGTGTATGCACAGGAAAAAAACAATATGTTTCATAAAATTAATCTTCCTTGTCATAAATGTCAGTCTGTCTTTCTATCAATGTTTTTTTTTAGTACCAAGTGTCCATGTGAATACTGTATACAGTTCATTTGTATGTTTAGGTGTGTGTATGTGTGTGTATTGGAATGATAACCTGTTTTTTCATAATATAGTTCTGCCTTTTTGTAAATGTCACACTCAGTCTCTAAGTCTCTTTTTCTATCACCTTAGTTGATGTGTTCCTCCATAATCGTCAGGCCAGTCCACCATGCACACGGTTCTGGGGTAGTAATATCTAGTCACGCTGTAGTAGCACTGTGGGAAAGCCAGTAAGATTGCCACAATCCAAATCACTGCGATCACAACCTTTGTGGAGGTGGAGGACAGGCGGGGCTTAAGAGGGTGGATGATCGCCATGTACCTGAAAGGGGATAAAAGGTTTATTCAGTCATGTGGCTATTTTTCCATGATGGAATTTGATGTTAAATCTAAAGAAAAAGAAACAACAGAGAAACTCCCTACCACTCCAACCACTTACAGACAAAATCATAAATGTGAAATAATTACGTTAAATCTCTTCACTAGGTATTTGTGATTTATTCTAGACTGGGAGTCAGGGTTATCAGTCAGGGTAACCAAGATGAAACATTATAATCATGTTGGTGTGAGGTGGTAAATGTGATTTCCCTCCTCTTGACCTGAACATGCTATTCTCAACTTTGTAATCTTTATGATCCAAATATCCTGTAATTCAGACTAATGATGATGAATGAGAGCTGTGTCACCTTTAAATATATTAGTTATTCGTCCTGAAAGCTGAGCACTGACCTCATGTTTCACTCTGAGAGAAATGTTGATTAAAGCAGGGCATTGATTATGCCCACTTGATGTGTATTCGGAGAAGTGTGAAATTCAAATGGAAAGGAAAGGGACACTTTTTTTTTCTAAATACCACCTCTAGATTTGGAGAGGTTTTAAGAATGATCCTTTTTTTCAAAGCTACAAGCAGTTTTAAGAGTCATAAAGCAAAAAACCTCATTTGATTAAATATTAAAATATATTATTATCTTCATTTATCAGCCTGCTTGTCTCTATTTGTCTGTGGTGCTGCAGTGGATCTGCCACAGAAATAACAATTTACTCCTCCCTGCATGACTGTGTGAGAGAGACACTCTTCAATAAAGGGGCAGTAGAGGAGAACAGAGATTGCATTTGTATCCTTAATATCAAAGGTATAATATAATATTTGTATATGTTCTCGTGATTATCTTTTTTGAACTATGTGAATCCTTTGTGCCAGGGTACTTTGGTATTCACTTTCAAGACAGAGAAACCTGAAAAATAAGACAGATGATTTGACTGCAGTTAATTTACAATATATAATTTCCCATGAATGATGATAGATAAATGCTACTATGTGCATTTGCATATCTGTTGTGAAAAAACCTATATGATAAATAAGATAAAGATAAGATATACTTTATTCATCCCAGCAGGGAAATTTAGGTGTTCCAGCAGCCAGCATACATACAACATACACAACACAACACAACACAACACAACACAACACATACAGTATATACATACATATCCCACCCATACAAAAAAACATGAGCCCACAATACAGTTTGATATATGATATATGCAACTCAGGCTAAAGTTTAAAAGTTTAAATGTCTTCTGTCCTTACTTAAAGGGGAGTCGTTATAAAATGCAATTGCAGTAGGTTGTCGATATAAAATGCAAATGCAGTAGGTAGTATGTGTGATAGCATAAGATATAACCATATAGAAGGGAAGTAGCGCCCCCTTATGTATAAAACCGGATAGTCCACAGGTTTGCTTCTAGACATTTTATGTATAGTAATATATGAATGTTGTTAAAGTTATGCTACTTTTACTCATAATAACAGTTTGTGTTGCAACAAACACATGTTGATGACACATTTTTTTCATTGTTATAGTGTTCTTTTTTTAGATTATGCACTGTTAAGGATACATGAAGACTACATGTTTAACAAAGGATTACAAACAAAACAAATGGGAAAGAAACAGTAGAAATAAGCCAAGAATAAATTTGCCACACTGTTTAACTTGTTTTGTTTGGCAAAAGTCACAAAGTATCTTGTCACATCAGACCAACAGAGATAAGCTAGAAGGAAATTTCTGGTTTTGTTGCTGTAGTGTGGAGATGACAGTGAATCCTACATCTTGTGATATTTAATAATGCAAATGATGTTTCACAGATTGTTTTCTGCTTGCTGCTAATAACACAGCAAAATGGCTGCAAAATGTGATGATTTGACAAATTGGAAATTAATGAGCAGGAACAATTGAGTTCTAAGCATTTAACACCTTTGAGCCACATATATGGCTTATTCATCAATACAGCTGCCCCGAGACACAGGGAACAATATATCATGTCATGTTATGTCATGCACACATGTGAGAGTAATGAAATGCTCCAATAAATCTGTCTCTGCATTGCAGTGTACCAGTGTAGAACACATTTGTAAGGAACATGCTTTTGTGGGATGAGCAGCAGAGCTGAGTATGTGGGTTGCGGCCATGAAAATCTTGCCAAATCTTCTCTGCCAATGCCAAACATTAGATTGGATGATTGAAGTCTGAAAAAACAAGACCCATTGGCAATTTAACAATTTATTCATTTAACAAACAGGAGCCTCAGTAGCGTGTGGAAGAACCATGCTCAGCCACAACAGCCTGGCACCTCCTCCTCAGCCAACATGGTTGTGTTGGTCACTCTGGCAGGAACAGCAGGCCCTAGCTGATCTCACAAGTGTTCAATGGGGTTGAGGTCAGGACTACAGGCAGGCCATTCCATCCTCTCCACTCCCAAATTCTGGATGTAGTCTCTGATAAACCCCGCTCTATGGGGACGAGTGTTATCATCTTAGAGGATAGAATTCGGTCCCAGACTGTGGAGATATGGGATTGCCACTGGCTGCAGAATCTGATCTCGATATCTGATTGCATTGAGATCCAATGATGACAAGCCTCGTTTTTCCAGTGAGGGAGATGCCGCCCAACACCATCACACTGCCTCCTCCAAAAGCTGTTACCCTATCGGTGCAGCAATCAGCATAGGGCTCTCCGCGTCTTCGCCACACTTTGACACTATGATCCAACTTCCGTAGGCAGAATCTGGACTCATTGCTGAACATAACGTTCCTCCACCTGTTCAGATTCCAGTGCACATGTTGCTGACACTAGCGCAAATGGGCCTGACAGTGAAGGGCAGCCCGATGAGACAGGAGATGGCATTGGCAGAGAGAGATTTGGCAAGTTTTTCATGGGCGCAACCCACATACTCAGATCTGCTGCTTATCCCACAAATGCATGAACCTTACAAATGTGGCCCCATTTAAAATGGAAATAAACAGGCTTTCTGAATGGTATAAGATTTATTGCCAAGAAGCATTGTTACAACAAAGAAATAATCTACCAAACAAATGTCCTTACTTTTTGTGCCATGTTTATATATTCAATAAAGTTCAAGCCAAATGTATGGCTTTGTTTTTTCCATTTTTGGATATTTTCTTTTCTCTTGTATCCTGAACCAGCCTGCCTGCCTGTTTCTCAGTTCAAGTTTTCCTGCCTGCCTGCAAGTCATTGTTACACAGAAACAACTGCACAAGAATGCCTGTCACCATCTGTGCTTGGGTCCTACCTTCTAGTCTAGGCTACACACGTGAAAATGTTCTACTTGTCAACATACATTTTAAAATTATAAACTATAACTTACACCAATCAAGAAAGAGCTACAGTATAACATAAAGAGAGAGGAGAGACACATTGCAGTGAAGTTTGATATTTGAGTTTTTTTGTAAGAGGTTGTTTATCACGATTATATGATGTTGTTAAATGGTGTGATGAAGGAAAACAGTTTCCAAGGTTCACACTTGTTCAATTGGAGTGGGAGAACAGCTGCAGCTGAACTCTGATGTAAGTCTGTGAAACAACGTTCTTACCTGTCCACTGCGATGGCAGCCATCGAGTATATAGATGAAAACATGGCCGTGATGGGGAAGAAGTTCTGAAACCTGCAGTAGCCCAGACCAAAGTACCAGTCATTGTGAAGCGCATAGACAAAGTTAAAAAGAGTGTTGAAGGTTGCCATGGAAACATCTGAAAAGGCCAGGTTGACGATGAAGTAGTTGGTGACGGTCCTCATGCGTCTGTGAGCTAGAATAATCCAGATCACTGTGACATTCCCAGTGATGGAAACCAGGATGATGAGGGAGTACGCTATAGCCCACAGAGCCACCTGAGAGGAAAGGAGAGGAGAGGAGAGGAGAGGAGAGGAGAGGAGAGGAGGGGAGGGGAGGGGAGATGATTGTAAAATAATAATTGTACAAGGCACTGGTATGATAAACAGTAAAAGCTCAAATTATGTAAAAAAAAAAGAAAAAATCTGTTAGATTGTCCACAAAATACTTTGTTTGTTGTGTTAATTTAGATTTTGATCATATTAAGTGTTAAGGGACTGAACAAACATTTTATTTTATTATAAAGTACAACAGATAGGCTATTGATCCATGTTTAACTTCCTATAATGAATGAGACATGAATGCAACTATTTTACAGATTTAGAAAAGACAAATACAGATGTGTTTACATTTCAAATTATTGTGAAGATCATTGATAACATATCATCTTACACACATAGCCCATATTTTTCGTTGTTGGAGGTTTTATGGGATAATTGTATTATTTAATTGCACTCTTTTCTTCATGTTGTCTAATTTTCCAAAGTTTCTCATCAAAGTTTCCTCTAAAAGCTTCCAGGCTCTGGAGTACCCAGAGATAGCTCTGTATCATCTAGTGTCCTTTCAGATCCCGCTGATCTCCCACCTGCCAGTCCGGCTGCTGGAACTGATTCCCAAACGTCTCGTTTCCGTCCTCAGGCCAGTCGGTGGTCTCTGAGAGTGGCCACAAAGTGGCCCCCGCGTCTCTTTCAACGTGTTGAACAAGACTCTCAGCGTCCATCTTCTCCCCCGGGTTACCTGGGCTGGTGAAAACCTTAAGTACAAATGCACGTGCGATATGCGTCATGCATGCGTAATGACTTGATGGATGACAGGCGGTTAATTAAAGGTCAAAATGTCTGTCTATTTGTGGAAAGCTGCTATATGTATAAATAGATTATAAATTATAACTCTTCTCGTTTTCTTCTTCTAGGCAACAGCCAAATGTTTGAGTCGCCAAAATAACTTGTAAATGTAATGAGATGCTTTACATTCTGTTCCTCTCGAGCACTTTTGATTGTGAATCTTTTTTATTCCCTGTTTTGAATGGTTTCTTTTTAAACCCAGGTTACCCTTTAGTGCGTCAAAAAAGCTCAACGCACTCCACTTCAGTTCAAATTTGATTGCAAATATACTTTTGAAAATTGTTACTAATAAAAACATTTTTCAGATAGAAGGCAATCAGAATGATGGGCAGAATCACAATATGATGTTTCTTTGGCTGCGGTGAGCGCAACAGCCTCCAGCACAAATGGTGAGGTGATGCAGTGGATGACACACCAGTGATGAAAGATGATCTTTACAAAAATAATACAGAATGTGCACTCTGTTATCACATTCATCTGACTTACCTTTCCGCTTTTGCAAGCGAGTTGTCAATTTTCACGTCAGTTTGTCCGATCCATCATGAACAAAGTCCAAAAATCAAACTCCTACTGCGTAACGGACAACCAGGTCCACCCAGTAATCCATCAGACATCTCAAGACATCTCTGTGCGCGCTCACTCTCCCTCTCTCTCTCTAACACACATACACACACTCTTTATCTTTCTCCAGGAATGCGTAGCTTGTTACGCTACCAGCCTATGAGTGCTACAGAGAAGCACAGACACGAGACTGTGCGCGTGAAGCTTCGCCAACTCAATGCACAGCAGGAGAGTGATGAAGAGAGAAAGATGGATATGGGAAGCAAAATCATAGAAATAACATCAACAGCTCTTTATCATACTCGTTTTATGCAACAAGCAAAAAGTATTTTTTTTTAGATCTTCACATGAAAGGAGTATAAGAAAAGTGGCATATATTACAGACATGTTGGTTCTGCATGACTCCAACAAAACTTGGATAAGAAGTCAAACAGAGAATTGAGAAATATACTTGGAGATATTTTTAGAAAGTGAACGTAAATGCCTGTCAATGCTGCAGATATCTATTTCTGTAGGCATTTAAACTATTTACTATCAGAAACTCACGCACGTTTAAATATATATATATATTTAACCTTTATTTATCCAGGTTAGTCCCATTGAGATCACAGATCTCTTTTCAAGGGAGACCTGGCAAGTAGCAACACAGAGTAAAAAAACACACAAAGACAACTCATATAGTACACATTTTAGAATAACATCTCAACTTTTCATCAAAGCTTGCTGGATCAGTTCAAAGAGGTCCATTCATGCTGAGTATGTGTTCAATCTTGAGGTCTCCAGTGGACAAACTGTAAGCTTCAATCATCATCTTGTGCAATCAGCCCTGACTGTTCACAAGGGGTCTGTTTTATGGCTATTGACAAAGCTGAAGAGGCCAGAATTGAGTTTCTTTATTCTTTGATGCTGTTTCTCTTTTAAGGCTGAAAAAAGTATTTTTGTTTTTAGTGTGTTCTAGTGCATATCCAAACCTAGTCATTCGTGTCAGTATTCAACTGTTACCGTTTTTTTAAATCTTTAATTTATGGTCCTTAAAAATATTCAACCACTAATCCAGAAAATGAAAATTGATTTTGGTAGATGGGCAAAAATTAATCTTTCATTGTGGGTCAAAATACAAACAATTAAAATGATGACTGCACCAGTGATTTATTCAATCTTATCCCATCTCCCTTTACATATCCAAGATTCTTGCTTCAGGGACTTTGACAATCTCATTCTAGATTTTCTTTGGAACAAATCACAACATAGGTTGGGAATAAAGAAACTACAATCCCACATAAAGAAAGGGGGATTTTCTCTCCCTAATTTTAAATGGTACTATTGGGCTATCAATGTAAGATACATGAGAACCTGGTTAGCAGGTCAAGAAGTGAGGGAGAACCCCAGCTGGTTACAGATAGAGGTTGACATTTGTGATGGGTCAACCCCATGGTCAGGTCTGTTTGGTCCAAAATCACTGCAACAAAAAGAACATCCTGTTATTGCTAATGCTAGATTGATATGGAATAAACTACATAAAGCTGGTCGCAGGGATTTCTTTAAATCTAGCACCTTTATGGAAAAATAGTAGAATTCTTGTTGGAGTTAAAACGATTAACTGGACTCTATGGAGGAGGGCTGGGATTTTGTACATCTCAGATTTGTTTGATGGCCGAACTAAACAATTTCTAAGCTTCAACCAAATTGTTTATAAGTATAATTTACCACGTTACCAATTCTGGAGATATGTCCAAGTGCAAAGTACTTTATCAAAATGGTTAGAAAGCCCCCTTATATGCCCCACAGGCAGCCCAATTGAAGAACTGCTTACTAAATCCTCATCATGCAGAGGCACTGCCTCGAAGATTTATCATTCACTACACAATCAATTGTGTGATCCTTTGATAAAAGTAAAAGAACAATGGGCAAAGGACATGGCTGTGGACATATCACCTGAGGATTGGGATTCATGTTTGAAAAATATGAATACAATGTATAAAGAAGTTGACAATAAATTCATCCAATTGAAACTAATACACTGGTGGCATCGGACGCCTCAACAATTACACAAGTGGAAACTAATACCTACAGACTCTTGATGGAGATGCGAAGAGGCTGGTGCCTCTATCTTTCATGTACTCTGGACATGTTCTGCAATTAAAGACTAGTGTAACAATATACAACAGGTAATTTACGAGGTAATTATTCCAAGTCTCTGCTAAACTGGTTATTTTGGGTTCGACCACGGAGCTTGAAGACTGTGGCTTGTCCTCTTTTGAAAAATGATGGATTATTTTGGCTTTTACCATAGCTAAACTGATACTTCTGAGACACTGGAGGAGGAAACACCCACCTCCTTATGAATGGGCCACAACTGTGGCTCAATTAGCAGCTTATGAGAGAGTAACATATTCTCTGTTGGACAAGCTAGATCAATATATGCTTACGTGGGCCTCTTTACTGCTTGGCTTTCAGTGTCTGTACCTTAAGAGGTCAATTTAATAATTTAGTAATTTGATTCATTTTGATATTGGACATATGTATTTAACCTGGGGAAACAGTGTGTGCACTATTATTTTATTTTGTTTATTTTATTTTTGTCTATGCCTGTTTCTCTCACGTTGTATGTTAAGTACAAGATTCTATGTATGATATGGGAAATTGGATTTTTTTGTTGTTGTGTTTAAAAACCAATACAAATTTTGAATACAAAAAAAAAAAATCTCTAATTTACAGTCATAAAAATATCACTGTCCTTTGATATGTTCTGTTTCTCTGTAAAAATTCAAAGAGATGAGACGATGGGGTATATTTTTGAGACCTAATTTATCTGCAGTGGTTCCAACAGGTGGATCTGAAATTCTAAAAATAAGGGTTGATGATCAGTGATGAAGCACTTCCAAAGTAGAGCTTGATGTTTGCAGTTATTGACAGTCACACATTTAGAAAAACTGCTGCTGCATCTCAAACATGACAAAACACTTAAATGTAACCCAAGAGATATGTTAGTGTGTATGTGCTAAAAATATGAGCATGAAAAACAAAAGCATTAAAATATGACTGGAGTGCCCAATGAATCATTTTGTACTGACCTTTTATTTCCTAAAACACATTGACTGCATCTACCATTAAGAAGAGAAATGTCAATCTATTTTAACCCTTTCGTGTACCATAAGGTATCAGGACACTCATGAACACCTGCTGTAGTTTCACAATGTTTCTTTATTTTTATTTTATTTTACCTTTATTCTCGTGGAATCATTGAGGGCAAGCCCTCATTTACAATGATGTCAAGAGCACAATTAAAACAATTAAAAGAGACAAAAAAAACAACTTAGACAAAATAGATTATATGACCAGAAGAATAAGCGGCAAGCAGGCAGTCACTTGATTGTGTCTGATACTGATTATCAGTCCAGATTAATAAAGAAGTGATGTATGCTGGTAGATTACCCGTAAGTGATTTATAAATAAATAGCAGCCAAAGCCTTTCACGTCCAACTCTTAGTGAAGGCCAACCAACTTTGTCGTACAGGATTAAATGATGATTGGAATTTTTGTCACCAGTGATAAATCTAAGGGCAGAATGATAAACTGTGTCTGATGATTTTAGGGTGGAGGCAGAAGCATGTCTATAAATGACATCTCCTTAGTCCAGAACAGATAGGATGATGGCTTCAATTATTCGCTTATACACACTAAAGGGAAGTTCACTTTGTTTCTGTACAAGTGTCCAATTATCTGTCGTAGCTTTGTGATTAATGTATCAATGTGAAATTTAAATGAAAGGGTTTGATCCAACCAGATGCCAAGATATTTATAATGAGGTACTCTTTCAATATTGTGACCTTCCAGAGTTGTTATATGCAAGTCATTGTCTGTGGTATTTCTGGCTCGTGTAAAGAGCATGTATTTAGTTTTGTCTGCATTCAGTGATAATTTCAAGTCAAAGAGTGCATTTTGTAATTTGTGAAGTGCTTCTTGTAAAGTTTCCATTGCTAAATGTGCAGTCTCAGCAAAACAATACAAAACTGTGTCTTCAGCGTAGAGATGGGCCTTACAATTTGTAAATACAGGAGCAATATTATTAATGTAGATTGTGAACAGCACGGGACACAATACAGAACCTTGTGGAACGCCTTTTGATAGTGGTAAGTATTCAGAGTGATCAGATTGTACAGTCACACATTGCAATCTATTGGACAGATAATTCTGGAAACATTTAAATGAGGAGTTGTCAAAACCAACATCACGTAGCGATACTCTGCGGGAGTATGGTGTCTAAAGCTTTAGTTAAATCAACAAAAAGGGCAGCACAGTATTTCCCTTGATATTCCCCATCTGGCCAGTCTGGTGAGGTCTTAATACAGAATTTCTTGAAAGGAATGATTTTAGTTGATTGTTGACTAATGTCTCCAGGATTTTAGAGAGGCTGGTGTTTGATAATTGTTGAACCGTTAGTCTTTCTCCATGACTGCAATATGGCTTTACAAAGCAAACAACAGGTGACACTAACCTTGTGCCTTAATGTGTCATTTCTTCTAGGCCTCTGTTTCTTACTTTCGTAACACTTCTTGTTTTCTGTTGCTGTTATTGTCACATTATGTTCTGTCACTTTTGTGCTCTTTCTGTTCTCTCCTCCCTCCTGAGGGAGATCTGCTGTATGTGTTTGTTCCATAGACTGTAAATATTACTGGACGAACCCTGACCCGTCTGTGACGTAGGCAGAAAATGAGTCCAATCGACGGCCGCATCCATATTGGATTTGCAGTCTCAACCTAACTTCGGATCAACCTAACAACAGCAGTAAGGCGGGACCGGCGGGACTTAACTCCGCCCATTCAGCTCGACGTCAGCAGTCCACTTCACAGCATAGCTAACAGCTAGGCTGCTAGCATCAACTATTCCTGCTCATCCTGAGAAAACTACAAACAGGAAGTTAACATTTAACTTTTATACAACACAGTTAAAACGAATTATATTCAACCCAAATATTTTATTAAAGTCTTAAAACTACACTTTTTTAAATATACAATTATGTTTATGAGTTATTTGTCAGAGCAGTTAGACTTTGTCAGTGTTAGCAGAGAAATACATTAACAAAGTTTTATCCATAAACTGTAAATAAATATGAGACATCCAGAAGAAATCAATATTACAAAGCATTCAGTTCATGTTACTGTTCTGACAAAAAGAGGAATGTCTGTGTCTTATATTTACTGATGTCAACAGCGATGAGGTGAACATGACAATTGAAAAATAAATATTTAGTATTTATTATAAGATATTTGTTTTCTATTGAACCCTGTGAAGTCATGGAGTCTGTGGACAGTGTCAGCTTCACACCAAAAACTTTAAGTATTAGAAGAAATAGTGTTTAAGACTGGTATCTATTATGATGAGCTGCAGCTACCTTGTTCAATATTATTCCTGCAGATGTGGCTCATAACAAAAAAACACCCTGAGCTGTCACATGTAGTTAACTGTACATTTTGTCTGAGGCATTAATTGAACATCTTTGTATTTCTCCTATAGACACAGTGTGGATTATTGGTGACTGGTCCTTCGAGGTGCCCAGAGAGCTGCAGAGACAGAGGAAGAAACCTGAGCCTCAACAACATCTGCATTTGTTGGTTCTTCTGGGGTGGACTTCAGTTTCTTCTCTTCAACAGCTCGCTGTGAGGGAGGTCTCCCCCGGATGGCCTGAGTGATGTCACCCACAGGCTGAGAGCTGGAGCTGAGGTGGGTTTTAAACCTCCTGACAAACCGTTACACCGCACTCGCCTGTCAAGCTGGTCAGCTACAAGCCTTATTGTGAATAACTCTTATCCTTCATCAAACCAAAACTGATGAGTCATCAAAACATTCACCCCCCGTACAGTGTGTGTCCATCGAGACATGAGCTAATCACACCTATTTGTTTGTTTTGTACCAAGCTGTAAACATGTTCATCTCTGCTGTAAAAACAGATTTTTTTGTTGTTTTTCAGATTAAATAAATATTTCTATATAAATGCACTCCTTTATGTCTACTTATGAGTATACATTTCAGATTTGAAATGACAAGACTAAAATGTGCATTAATGCTCAACTCAATAGCTTAGGGAAGGAAGTCTACTTTTACACAACTTCTTATTCTTTTGATAAATACTAATGTAGTTCATTCCTGAAAGTGGGATGGAACAGAGTCATTGCAAAATGATGACCTTAAACACAGCCCCATTCTTAAATAAATAAGATCAATAACTTGTGAATAAAAACACAGTTAAAAATGATTTAGAAATGTAGTCTTCCCAGATCAATATCACATAATATCAACTTCTCCCATCTAAACTGGACAAAGGGTTTTAAAATGGGAAGAAAATAGTTTGATTGCAAGTTGTTTGGAGGAGATCTATTTTTATTTGAACAGCATGAATACAGTCTTCTAAGGTGCAAACCCTCCTCCTCCTCCTGAAGCCTGTGGAGCTCGTAGATGTACTGCTGTCTTATCTGCTGGCCATCTTCTCTCACCAGAACTTCAACTGTTGAAATATCATTCTGAAGAAGCTCGAGCATGTGACATGGATCCAGGAGAACATGGACTTTTAGTGCGGGGTCTTCAGGATGGAAAAGAAAGAGAAAATATCAGTTATTCATTAAATAATTTTTTTGTTCTCATCTATTTTTCTGTATTCATCTGTGTGTAAGAGCACATTATAAACTCAACAGTGTGCTACCCAGACAACAAAGGTACAGTATTCAGGTAATCAACATCTATTCAAAGTTAAGAAGATAAAGTTTATTGTAATCATGCTATTTACTATCGGGCTTTTTTGGCTGTGGGCTTATGGCACTTCCGGCGCTTCTGCAGCCAGCCTCAAGCGGAACCTCGAGGAACTGCAGTTTTTTGTACTTCCGCATAGGCTTCATTTTTCGAGACCGGAGGTTGCCCCTTGGTTTGTTCATGTTTGCACTGTAAAGAAAGGATAGAGGTAGGGATCTGGTGTGTGTAGAGTTTGCAATGCATGTGTGTACCTTCACATGTTCACAAATCATTGTGGGTAGCAGGGCCTGTTGAAGGGCGTGTTGAATGGTACATGCAGGCAGGGGATACGTTTTTATCAAGCTGTATGTGGTCCTTTGAGTTAATGCGAACCTGAGGCACTGCAGAAAGAGGAAAAACAGCTGTAATTATCTTGGGACTTTGAGGAGGGGATGAAGTACAGCCTGTCAACCCTGAGCTATAGACAAAGACAAATGGCTCTATGGACTCACAGGGCCTCTTTGCTTCAATTAATTGTTGACAAATTAGCACATCTTAGATCCAAGAGTTTGCAAATATCATTTTTTTAAAGAGCCTCTCCTCGCAACACTTTTTTCTATACTCACCAATCAGTTTAGTTAGTAAACCATCACATAAAAAAACCAAAAACAAAAGCAACTATCTTCATTCTAAGACCCATTGCACTGTTGTTGTCAGCCACCCTCTACTTGCTGACTAAGATCATAATAGACGATTAATAATAGATCACTCTACTACTTGGGTGGAAGCAGTCACTCATGAGAATAGACTGGACAGCTGAGTAGGGTTGACGATCGCAAAGATGGTTGCCTGTTTTATTTCTTTTTCTACTTTTGTAATTTGGTAATCAGTGGGTTGGCATGTCTCTTATGGTTCACAGATGCATATTCACCTGCATTAGGTTGAATTTTTTAAATCACTGATTTTTAATTGACAGCCCTATAATAACTCGATTTTAATGTTTTCTAGACAACCAAGGAAGACAGCATGCATTGTTTTTCTACACAATTACTGTTTTGTGAGATGTTTAAGTCATCAATTTATTGATTTACATTAAAGAGGATTAACTTTTCTTAGTTGTGTAGGTAGTCAGTGTATGCTTTAGGCGGTGCACTTCGGCCTACAACAAAAGCAGAAATGAATCAAAAAGTCACAATTCAAGGAGCCCACACATTCACTTCTCAGCAACTTCTAAGATGTATTCATGTTTCTTATAAAGTCCCTGACGTGAAAGGGTCTTAACTAGGGGGCAAAGTTACATGGCTTGAGAACGTAAACAAAAATGTGGGACAAAGAAAATAGGATTTAAAAAAGTGGAGATACAATTTTATTTGATGAAATAAACTACATGCATTGACCTTCCTGTGAGAATCACTCTTAATGTATTATCTGAGTCCGATGTAAATTGAGTTACTTGTATAGCTATCTGAAACAGATATTTAGGCTATTTGTTAAACAAATGAGTTGTCATGTGCTTGTGTGAAAACAAACACATTTGTATCACACATGTTGGACCAAAAGCTTAATAATAAATAAATAAATAGGCCAAATAAACAACAGCACATGGTATAAGTCGTTAATAAAGTGGATAGATTGGCTGTAGAGAGGGAGAATGAACTCAAAAAGTTCAAGACAATTTTAATGTATTTTTGATCAAACCCATACTGAAAAGCGGGTTAATAACTTTATCTCATATATATATATATATATATATATATATATATATATATATAAAAAGATAAAGATAGGCTACCTTGTTTAAGATAAATGAGCTCCATTCATTCTGGTTAAAGAAGAGCTTTGAGGCATAGGACTAATGACTCATTGTGTGTGGATCGGCAGCCACACTTTGTATTTCACCTATTGCACATCAATCATTGTAAAGAAAAATAATCATGAGACAAAACTTCCCTTCGCCATCGCCTTTAGCTTCTGTAATATCGTAAACATCCCATCCGTCAATCCATCCTGCTCATGTGCGCTCCCAGGTGTGGTGACGCTGACAACGCGGAAGTGTGTTGTCAACAGTAACGCAGGAAGCCGCAGAAACTGTCCTCAGTCAGACACGATGACCGACACCGGCGATATCAGATACTGTCACAGATTCTCCTATTTGGTCCTCAAATTCACGCTGTTCGCCTATGCCATCGGCTGGTGGGTGAGTAACGTCAACAAGATGGTTTGTGAAAGAGCAGCGCGCTTTGTGTGGAGGGGGGCAGACCGGTTTGTGCTTGTGTTTTTCTAATGGGCTGCTGATCGGCACCATTAAAAAAAAAGCACTCTTCTTGTTATTAAGAGGGAAACATTAAGAAACATTATTGTTCCACATTTTGAATTGCAGCTGTTCGCATGGTAATGTGATCTAGTCTTTGTAGCGGCAGGTGTTACTGTATGGTGTTACCTGATAGTTCTGCAGACCGAGACTTCGTTTTACGTCCTTCTAACGATGCGACCACACCCTCTCTATCCACCTTTACCCTACTCTTACCTGTCTGATCTAGGCTACTCCAGGTAAACACAGTGACAGAGCAGATAAGGAAAAAAAAAAAAAGGGAACAATACTCAGTGTGTCCTGTTGTGGTCAGACTGCTCCACATCCTTAGTCACCATGTGTAGGTCACCACATGACAGCAGCAACATGTGTTCAGACAGCATTAAATTACTCAAAATGACCGACTTGGTCCTGTAATTGTCATGTATGCCTACAGTGAAACTATAAAACAATACTGTTAAATCTCCATGGCAGCCTCAATCAAGGTAAACTTCATTCAGTAGCCCAAAGTTTTCACAGACATACCTGCATTTTTGAGCCTATTTGAGTCAGTGGAATATGATCTGGCCCAGATAGCATTTTAATTCCAATTTATTCACTTCATTCAGAAAACAAAATGTTCTATAAGCAGGTGTCAGCCAAATGTTTGAACCATAAGTAAGCTTATTTTAGCCACAAGTTGGGCCTTAGTCACCAAAGAGCATTCAAGAGATACCGTTTTTTATGTTGCTGTATCCATAGCTTCATTCTGCACATGAATTGAATGAACATGATCTAAAGACACTCACATGACATCCAAATAAGCAGTGAGTTCTTCCTTAAACATTCAGCATCAACCTCAAAAATAACTAGCAGTAAACTAGATCTGTCTGGTTCCTTAGTCTTGTGGTGGCTGTACAGAATTGAGAAACTTAACCATAACTTGTTATGGAGATAAAAAAAAGAGGACCTATACGTAATAAAAGGTAATTTCATTTTGAGACATGGTTTACATTTCTGCTAGCTAGGTAACATTTAAACTAGATAGAAATGTTCACTGATCTATCCTTACGTTCATCGATTTCAAAAGGTATGGCTAATGTCAGCCAGTAAGAATCCCTCAGGATTATTTGAAAAAATACATTTCAATTATCTTGTCAATTGCTCAAAGCAAAAAGTTGTGAAATAAGGACGATATGTTACTTGACCACCATATTAACCAGACTCTGAAGTTACCTGGTACAGGTAGCAGTAAGACAGTAGCCTATTTAGTAGCCCACCAGGTAGATATGGTGAATGCTCTGATAGTATTGTGTTGTTTGTACACTACTTGCTTACTGCCAAACAACAGACCAACCCATATAATGACCAGCTGTTGAAAATAACACATTAAGCCACGCATTCGATGGAGACAGATGACAGAGTGAATGTTAGTCTTACTGCCTCAGTTAGTGAATGTTTGATTGTTTCCAGAGAAGTCAGATGTTTAATGAAGAAATGCCTTTGTCTACCTACTTAGTAATTTCTTGCATGGTGAGTATATGGCAGAAAAAATAAAATAAAAATCTCAGCAATTGAACCTCCCCATAATAAATATAATTGTAATGACTTGTGGTTTGATATAAAGACAGGACAGTCACAGATCTCCAGCAGAGGTGCACATTCTTAACCTTTTGTCAAATTTAAGTCACTCAGTGTTTTAACATGTTATAGGATGCTTTGATTTGTCAGAAAGATTCAAATGCATTAATGGTTATATATTACTCGTGACTGTTTCTCAAAGGTGGCCACTTAAGGTTAAATAAATGACTTACCCAGATGGCACTTGTTTCAAGAAATATCCTGAGAAGATGTTCACATAACTGAAACAATATACTCTGATGGCTTTCATTATGTCTGTTTCTTTATGCACCAGACAGTAGCCAAACTCAGCAGCTGCTTCCTTTCACAGACAAGCGTGGCAGATTATATATTTGTGCAGCTAGACAGATGCTTGATTGGCACACACTAACAAACGCTTATTTGTTTCTCCAGAGAAACATTTGTGAAACTTTCTTTTGTGGAGCGAGGCAGGAGGGATTGGGAGGGTTGCAGCAAAGAGCAGAAGAGGAGTCATTATTAGGTTTGAAAATGGAGAATAAATGCTTCTGTGATAGGGGAGCGTGAATCAGATTAAGTAGTCATATTTACTTGGCTCCTTCAGCTTGTTAATTCAGTCATACTAAAGAGATATGTTCCCCACACGCACACACTGTCAACCAAGGAATGTGGTGTTTCTCAGCGTGATGCAGTCATACTGACAGCAGTAAATGTTCACAGACAGCATTCAATGGTTTCCTTATAATTAAAGTCAGAAGCAACAGTTCTCTGCCATTATATTTCATAAATCAGGTCTGGGACTAATTAAAGCTAATATTCAGATGGCTGCATGTTGTAATCAGCAATATTTCCCTTCATTTCTTGTAATTATGGAACAAACAACTGATGATACAACAGTTGGCTTAATAGACAGCAGTGGTGATTGTTTATAACCAAGACAGTTAGGTCTCATGTTTCAGCTAAAATCTTGAACTATAACTTATGTTTTTTCTTGTTTTTTCTTGTATTATTTATTATTTATTTGAATGTTAATAATCTCTCTTTTTTTTTTTCTAAAATACCTTGTTCTTCACACTGATTCAGTGTCCGGCAGAACAGGAAGTCTGTACTTGAGATCAGCTGCTGAGGCAGCAAACAGCCAAGTGAAATAGCACATGTTGGAGGAGCAATGTACAGTAGAAGAATTGTTTTTTCCTGTTCCCTGTGGGAAACTACTCGAGTCCAACACGGACAATAACATGATCTAATCTAGGTTTATACTTTATGATCTAATGTGTTACATTTAAGTATACAAACGGACAGCAAAACTAAATCATAAAAGAGTAGTTTTAAGATGAATAGTCCAAAGATAATTTTGTACCATCTTAGAAAGTCATCGTGATAATGATTTTTTAAAGTACAATAGTGTTATAATTTGGTTTAAAGCTCAGAGTTGAAAAAAAGTATTATATGTTATTAAATATCTTTAAATATTAATCACCTATTTTGGTCTAAAACTTTAATATCAATTTGTTATTTGTTCTAAATTATTTACTTCTGTAAGATGAAATTTGGAAACAAAATGACTCCTGAAGCAAGTGGAGTTGCTGTTGTTGTTTTTTATGCAATTTGAAGATAACTTTCTTCCCTGTGATCCCAGCTCCCAGCTACACACACACACACACACACACACACACACACACACACACACACACACACACACACACATATTTTGGACTTCATATCTAGTGCACTGAGCAGTTGTAATTGCTCTGTAATTTTGGACTTTGAATGTTGCTGACAAACAAAACTTAAGTAGTTCCAGGGAATTCACTCACTATACTTCCTTGAATGTCTTTATAGTATCAGCTAGATGTTGCCTCATATGCCTCATTTGTTTTATTTATTTTTACAGATAATTCAAAAGTCCACGTAACATTGGTCTCAAATACTGTTAGCATGTATCATGTCAACCACGTTAACCTTCTCAGTGTAGAGAAAGTTACTGCATGCTAAGGGACTACTTTCTTTCTGAAGGTATTTGGTGTGAACTTAAATATTCTGGCGGATGAGCTTTAGACTGGATTGTGATGAGGGCCATACAGCTAAGGGAACAATATTGTGACATTAAATTATCCTGTACAATAGTCAGCTGATCACCAAAAGCAATAGATTTCCTCATTTTGGGACTAAGCATTTTTTTCAAATTTCTTGGCAATCCTTTCAAAATTTGTCGAATTTGATGCTTGACCAAATTGGTGGACAGGCCAACAGACAGATTAATATGAAGGTACTTGATTTGCATCATTTAGATTCAATAATGGCCAACCAGTTTAAATGTAACAGGAGTGTGTACCCATTTCATGTGCATTGATTGTAAATTGGGCGGTGACTGAATTGAGAAATGTAATATGACCAAAAAAAGTCAAGGACAAAATAAATTGTAAAGCCATTGATATAACCTATCTGTGAATACATTTATGTTGCTATGAAGCTAATTTCTTCTAGCTTACTTAAGTCACAGTCTTACGATGAGTCTTACTCTTGAGTCCTTTTGTAAGTGCAGTTGTTGTTCCACGTGTGCAGTTTTAAGACGAATTCAGAGCTTAATTTAAGCTGCACCTCTGCTCTGTTTGCCCCCACAGCAGTTAGTCGAGCACACTAATAGCACTGTGAAGTTGTTTTAACAGTGTGAGTAATAGGTTGTATAATACAACTTATGCTTGGCCTAATACATTGGCTTGAGAATGTAGACAATAAATTGTCACTGAGCTATCTTTTCTTTTCTTTTCTTCTTTTTTTCTTCCAAAAACCAGAGTTATTCCTGAATGGCCAGGACTCTTTGTAAAGATGATCAAACATGATTATTTTCTCATAGAAATTGAGAGTTTCTCAGTTTATTGCTTTAGAGCCCTTGAGTATGTCAGGTCACCTGATACACAACTGATGTGACACCATAACAGACAGCAAGCAGGGACTTGAAGGAAAACACATCATGATCAGAACTCACATGAGAACTAATGGGAAGAAAATCCTTTTCCCTTGCTACCCCTCTCCGAGACTTGGTCTTCATTTCAGAAGGCTGAATAAGCAATTGAGTGGCAGAAAGCGAAATAGCAGCAAATATGTCAAAGGATGAGGTGTTTAGCAACAAGCTGTGGTGTGTGGGTATGGTGCCGAGTCTATGTGTGTGTTATTGTAACTTGTGTATTGCATAATTGCCAGGCCTTATTTAAAAGAAAAATATGTTTAGTACATGATGGGTTTCAATTATCTTGCTTTTTCCATTATATCTCTTGATTATGATAACATTGTCTGTGTTTCCCACGGAATTAAACTGTACACTATACCCTGTACCCTGCACCCTGTACCCTGAACCCTTTACCCTATACCCTGCACCCTGAACTCTCTATTCTATACTCATCCCACCATGGAAATATGATCACATTTTTGGGGTGGAGAGAATCTGAAATACTCATCCGTACTTCATCCCGGGGGGAAATTTGCTGAAATTGGTCCTGCCCATCCTCTCTCTGTAAGCTCTCTTTTTTTGTGACATTAATATTAAACGCAGCTCTTCCGTGTAGCATAGAGCTGATATTGTATCTGTAGACTGCGTTCACTCATATGATTCCCATTCCCAATTGTGAGCTTGTTTTTAACCTGTCAATTTGTAGCATTGTCTATGTGCTCCATGAGCACAACAGTTAGTTTTCAGTGTACAGTGCTGTCACAACACATTTTAATGAGGCCCTGAACACAAAAGCAAGTGGTAATGAACCACGGTTTACATTTAAAAAAGTTGATGTATTTTTTATCTTGTGTGCAGTGAGCATAAGCTAGTAGTTGCTGTAGCAGCTTCCATGTGAGCTGTTGTATTATTGTACATGTAAGACAGATGTTTTCAGTAAACAGACTTTTATGGATCCCCCTGGATGCATGAAGGATCAAAAGCAGCTATAAATAGGTCTAATTTAACCATTTCTGACCATATTACATGCTATTTGGCTGTAATATGTTTGGTAGTGGTCTCTTTAATTTCAGATTTGCATGCAGGTCATTGCAGGGACTGATTTGGTCAGTTATAATGAATGTCATGCATTATAACATACTTGAGTTTGGTAAACATAAACAGGGAAAAACTTGAGTTACCAGAAATTCATCACTTTATGAGTATTTTAGGCCTCTTCCAACCGATCATGAAAAGGGTAAAATCGACATGAATATGTTCAACCATGACTGGAGTGTATGAGTTCAAGGTCTGTTGATGGTTTTCTTCACATCAGACTCAAGGTTCTACAATTCGCCCATGCTTTTAGGATGACTGTACAACACTGAGAACAGCAGGGTCACATCTCAGTTGGCTCTTGTTTCTAATTCAGTCAAGGACAATGTCTATAATGATGACACCCTTTGTTATTTTGGTTCTGCAGTATGTAATATTACTATAAACATCTGCATGACAAGATAACATCAGAGCTAGTAAAAAAAATATATTTTTCTTTATTATTCCATGAACTGACCCTTCTGGCTTTCCTTCTCTTTCATAATGTGACCAGTAGCTGATAGCTGATTAGCTGCTTCAGAAACTAATTAGATGCAGTTGATGCTTTAACATATGTTAATGGGACTTTGATGCATGTTAATGTTACTATGAAATTGTATGGATGGGTTAAAGGACACAAACACTGCATGGATAGCCTGCCCTGCACATAATTATTGACTGCAGGATTAAGCTCTTGTCTCAATTAGTGATTCCTCTGTCATTGTGCGGTTGTGTGGTGAGGTCAGGTCTGTATAAACACTTGTCAATGAGTTGCAGTTAATTCTTCAGGTGGTGGTCCTTAATAGAAAATGTTTCTTACTATCTAAGTTAACCTTTTCAGGAAGAAAACTACCTATGTTCATTTTGTTATCAAGATTTGGTCAGATGTATCCTTAGGTTAATAGGGAATGTTGTGGAGCTGTAGGTTTTGAGTTGCTGAACTGAACATTTCAGCTTGCTGACTGGTCTTTTTAAAGGTCACATATTATGCAAAATACGCTTAACAATGTTTTTTGAACACTATATATATATGTCCCTAGCCTGTCTACAAACCCCCCAATTATGACAAAAAGTCCACCCACTCTGTCATTGCCTGCTAACCTTTCATAAATGTGTGTGTGAACAGGCTGTTTGGAGTTTTTACCTTTGTGACATCACAAAAAGCAGTAACCTGTCCCCCAAATGGGTTGCTGCAAATTCTTCTATTCTTGCTGGAGGCCGGGGCTCTGTGTGTTAATTTAACACTGAGCAGATCAATCGGGATGAGAAGTCAGACACCGAAACAACATTAGAACATGTGGTTTATTTTCAGAAAAAAAAAACTGTGTTTTGACAACATTGAGAACATGCTCGTGTGACTCCAGCTGTCCGGCGGTGCGACTCCGTACTTCGCTCTGAGAGCGCAGCCTGGGGGTGTTGATGGAGAGGGAGCACGGGGCTGTAACGGAGCGGAGCTGACACGCAAAGTAGACTTAGACTTCTTTTGGGTCGCACACTGAGAAGCGCCCCTCTCACAAAGGTAGACAGGTGACACACTGTATCTGTTGGAAGTTGAGGGTGACACTCCCACAGCTAGGTGTTTGTTATGTCCTCTGAGTCTGTCATCTCACTGTAAACGACAGGTCATGGTGCCAAAAGCCAGAGGCACCCAAGCCCTTCCAGAGAGGCGTGGTCAGACACAGTTAACTTACATTTAAAGTTATGAACACAGAAACAGCCTGCTCTAAACATGGCTGAAATAGAGGGGTTTATTCACATGCTGAACAGGATTGCTGTGGATTTTTGGCAAGAAACTTCACAGACATGTTTTGGGGAGCCCTGAGATTTATTTAAACTTGTTTAAAAGGAGTATAATACATGACCTTTAAAACAAACAAGCTGGCTTAGCAAATGTAAAAGTGAAAGCCTTGCTTGAGCCAAGGGTTATTGGTATTCACTGTTTTGAGATCATTATTTTTCAAACTAACAACAGAGGTGTGGTTCATAGTCTAAAGCCCTTGCAATTTTGCAACAGTGGCGTAAAGAAGCTCAAACATCATTGCACCCCTTACTTTGACTTTTTCCTCCAAAAGTGTAATATGGTGTCCCATTTCGTAATTTCCTCTTGCGTCACAGCAGTGTGTAAGAGTCCCTATTCTGACGGCAAATCAACAGGGTAGCTCAGAATAGAAAATCAGGATGCTGTTCAGCAACTCTAAAATAAATTGAGGTGAAGGATTTTTACACAAGGGTGAATTTCCTGCCAGGTCTGACTTGCCATGATTATATTACTTTTCTACTTTTAAACTAAACTAGTGTTGTGTCATTGCAGAGGCAAACGAGGTGCAACACAAACAGCATGAGCTTCATGCACATACGTACACACAACAGAGTGCAGCCCTGCTCTGCTCTTTACACAGATGCTGTCAAGCTTCTTCTATGCACCTGTTGCCACCTCTGCTGTCTGCTCAGCATCTAACATTAATGAAGAGGTCCAACAGAGGCCCTTTGACTCTTCTCCTGCTTCACACCTCTCTTGTCCCCTTCTGAACCCATACTTGGTCTGAGCAGAGCTCTAAATCCCTGTGACAGCACTGACTGCCCAATGTAGATAACTTTATCTAAAACTTCTGTGCTTCAGTGGAGCCAAAGACTAGCGACACTGGCAGCTCCGTGAGGCTATAATTATGCACAGCGGTGCTTCGAGCTGGACACTAAAAATAGCATGCTATTATATCCACAACAAGAATGAAAACATGACAATGTTAAACATGTGCAGTCGGGACAAGTTGTCAGACCACGACATGCATTTCCAATCTTGAAGGCTCTCTACTAGCATGGATTAGAAAGTTTACAAAAACAAAATTGTGTCTGTAAAAGTTTGTTGAATGTCCCGCAGTCTTAACATCCTAAAGTTTATGTATTAATCTTTCAGTAATGGAATGACTTCTGTCACTGCAAAAGAGGACAGCAGTCATCCATACAGGATTGTTTACATTAACATTTCAGTAAGGCTACAAGATAAACAAGTGTTTTATATGAAACATCTCATTCATAATACAAATGTCTCATTCTACTTATATGTTACTGATTACTACCCTGCTTTCATCCACAATACAAGAAGGTGACTCTGATAAAGACGAGATGTTTGGTCAAGGGTTTTTTGGGTCAGAATCAAATTGTATCAACACAGAACAACAGTAACTTCAAAGTCATCCGTATCTGAACAATGTGTTATCTTGGAAAAACCTGGGGTTTGGGCTATTTTTGAAGTTTAATTCCTTCATATGAAGTGTCTATTACTTAATTTGAAATTACTGACACACTTTTATAATTGATGAAGAGATATGAAACTGTTCATCATCTGCTTGTTTCTGTCTGGATATATGACTTGTTGTAGCCAGAAGTAATATATAATTATAGTAAACCCAGAAGCCTTACATTTGACTAAAAATAAAGTAATACTGAATGATTTCCTCTTTTGGTCATATTTAAGACTGCTGAAATTGTAACTATATGTGTTGTACAGTTCTCACTAACCAGTCCTCACTGCTTCTCATTGTGTCTCCAGCTGATAGGGGGCTTCATCTTGGCCATTGGCATCTATGCTGAGGTGGAGAGACAACGCTACAAGACTCTGGAGGGCATATTTTTGGCCCCAGCTTTAATCCTTATCCTTCTGGGAATTACCATGTTTATAGTTTCATTTATCGGGGTCTTGGCTTCACTAAGGGACAATCTGACCCTGCTGAAAGTGGTGAGTGGTGTGCTGCGAGCACAGTCATTTATCTTGACTAAAAACACAAAGTGGCTGCTATGATGCTTAGGACTTGGTGAATGTTTTATCAAACGTTAGTTTTTTATAATCCCTCACATTCAGAACTATACTTTTACTGTGTTTATTTTCTTATTTAAAAAGTAGCCATAGTGATTAAACACCATAATAGAACAAAAATGAAAGGTCCATATGTAAACTTGAAGACACAATATAACACAGCACAGCAATCACATTTTGATATGGAATATTTTACTGATGGATGCAGTATTTGGTTGATTCCTGGACTCATCTGTTAGGATCAGTTCAATGTTCATTGACTTATTAATTAATTAAATAATTCGATATGCTCTAGCAGCAAACCAGGTGGCCATGATCGAAAAAGAAAAGCATTTGAGCTACCCCTCCCATATGGAGGGAGCTTTACATTCTCAAGAACAGAGTTTTTAAAAGGTATACAGTGTTTTAGTTAGTGCATGTAAGCATACAGTATGCTTCCCTTTGTGTTTCAAAATAAGGCATTCAAAAAGGATTGAGGATTGTTTGAATGTGTAACATGTATTACGTTAGAAAGTAGACTATATTGAGCTCTGAACACCATGATGTGAATCCATGTGTTTTTGCGTGGCCAGGACACTCTTGAAAAATAGATTTTTAATCTCAATGAGTTTTCTTTCCTGGTTAAATAAAGGTTAAATCAAAAAAAAGAAGTTACTGGAAATTTGTAAAAAGTAGAAAAAACACTCCTCATTTGTCTGTTTTTTGCCTAAATAGTACACATTTAAGCATGAAGTGTGTAATATACGTGTATAATGGCTCTTCTTCTCTTGTTTCTGGTTGCTCACAGTTCATGTACACGTTGGCTGTGTGTCTGATCCTGGAGCTGCTGGGAGGAATAGTGGCGCTGGTGTTTCGCAACCAGGTGAGCTATCCAAAATGTTCAATTATCTGACAATTTGAGACCTTTCAGCAGCAGGTGGACGGTTCAAGCATTTTAGAGGCACCTTTTACCTCCTGTTATATTGGTGGAACATGATATATCCAAATCTTCATAGCCCAGTTCACTGATATGCCCACATAGTTCTTCACTACGTGTGTCTTCTAACTTAACAAACAAGTGTACATTATTTAAATATTATGAATGGAGGAGGTATGGACTAACGGCATGTTATTACACGTTGACAGAAAAGTATGTTTAGGGATAAAATGATGATGACCATGCTGGTCATGATTTCTGTTGTATGTCATCAGCAGACAGATGAAACCTTCTTCTTTACCCTGATCTGTCTTTGTCTCTCTGTGTTTCTGTCTTCTCCCCGTCTATCTCACCTGTGATGACTGCCTCCTACCCTCCTAATAGTCGTTTTTCTCTCTTGTTGTCTTGCTTGAGATCTCTCTCCTCAGTTTCTAATCTAATTTTGGTCCCTGCAATCGAATCCAATAATGTTCCTATGCATACAGACACGCACGATTGGGCATATTTAAGCAGGGTTTGTCAGGCGTCCAGTTTCCAAAATAAAGGTTGTTATTAGTGAATGTTATTAGTTCTTAAGGAAAGACTTAAAGGTGACAGAAGGACTAAATGATTACGAGACATGTGACGACTGGAGGGTTAGTATTTGATAATGCCTTTCCTTTAACAGAATGTGTAGCTGTATTCTTTTATTCTTTCGTATTCTATTCTTATTCTTTTACTCTCTCTGTCATTTACATTATATCAATCTAAGCATTTCCACTTTTTAGTTGTTAAAGTAGAGAATAAATGTATTGAGTCTTTAGATTGACTTTACAAAGAAGTTTATCACACAGTGAAATATAAAGACTTTTTAGGGTTAGGGTGCTGATGGAGGATTACTGCTAATGTTGTTATAATTTATGACAAAGAAGCCCAGCTGTGTGATGATATAAACCTTATTTTGAGAAATTCATCACATACGTTTTCAGCAATTGTTTTCTTTATGTGTCTTCTTGGGGACTAGTGCCCCTTTAAAATTCTCTGAATCGTCTTATTTGATTAACTGCATTTATTTCATAATTTCCTGTCTCAGAATAACGTTCTCATTTACCCTGAGGTGCTTTTTCATATCAGTATATTTTTGCCAAGGAAGCTAAATTACCAACATCATGATGTACAGTTCAGGTTTCTAATGGCAGTTTTATTTTAAATACAATAAAAACTCAGCTTTTGGTATGTCATAACTTCATTTAAAAGTCTCATTTACATTGAGATTAAAAAGAGAGACGGATTTATGCATGTGAAAATGTGTTCATATTAATCTGATCTCAGTTCCTTCATCATAAAGGTAGATTTTTTCTAAACAAAGATTGAGTTTCCCTTTGTGATATCATTTCCATGAACACCATGTTTAAATTGATAAGGCTGTATGAGCTCATAGGGGGTTCTCTAAAGGTTTAATATTCCTGTCTCAAAGAGGAGCGCCTCATAGATGGACTCTGCATCAGCCCATTGTGGTTTCATGTGGTTGCCCTGTCTCTATAGATTCAATATGAAGACCTTGTACATTCAGGGAAGGAAGAAAAGAAATGAAAAGAAAGGTTCAGCCACTTCAATCTGTGTTCATCTTTCTCCACTCATCTTTTTAGTCTATTGATAAAGAGAGTTCACGAAGCATTTCAAGGCCTGTTACCCTCCTCTCAAATTCAGTCTGAACGAAGAGGGTACACAGGACCCTGACCTCCACCAAAGCTCATATTCAAGTCTTCTATGATTGACATGCAAGCACAAACGCAATAAGTCGTCAGAACTATAAACATGAAAAGCAATAAACTGATAACGTTTATAAAATGTTTGTTTTAGCTATTCTGAGGAACTTTTATTTTAGTCTTGGGCAAATTGGTCCCTCCTATCTCTTCCCTCTGCCTGTCCTGTATATTGTGAGTTTTATACTATACCTAATAACCTAATACCTCCTTTTTTAAAGTGATTTTTTATTATGTTGGGAGGGGAGAGTCGGTGATGACATGCAGCAAAGGGCCGAGATGGGATTTGAACTTAGAGCCGCTGCAACAAGGATAACTCGACTTATCTGAAAGCGACGTGGTGGCTGCTAGGCAGTAAAAATAATCATATAGAACTAATCAGTCTCATTCCTGATGGATTGTTTTACTTTGTTTGGCCATATAGAGGCATCAGTATTCAGTCTGCTTCATAACCAGTAACTCTTTAAAAGACTTGATTAATATGTAGATCTGCACAAATATCAATTACCCAAACTACATGACCCTTTTTTAATTTTTCTATCCGTTTTGAAAAAGCTGAGTCGACCATAAAAATGACATGTTAGTTATTGGGAGCCTTTATGAATTAGACAAGTTGTTGCTTGTGTGTAGATTAGTTGCAGATCTGGTCTGATATGTAATGTTTTCTTCTGGCCTATGCTAAACACTTTAATCCATTTTTTAAATTTCACCAGTAGTTTTCACAAATCTTGTTCATAAATGGACAAAAGCCCGACAACAACAAAATACATTACTAGATAATAAGACTGCACAACAGAGAGGGGAGTCAGCGCGTTATTAGCCCCCTCAAAGATAACATTCAATAAAAGATCTCCATTAAACTGAAGTTTTGTGTTGCATATATTCCCTCTCAGCCACATGATAGAGTGATATCCTAATGTGACCCTGCTGCACCAGATTGTGACTGACAGATGTGAGCTGTCCAACTGTCATATTTTAATATTCCAGTTCACTAGATTGGTCACCTTGACTATTAAGAGCTACTCCTCTCCTGAGCTTAATCTCTGACACATTGACTCTATACCAGCTTTGTATTGAAAACCAAATGAATGTTTTTTTAGACTCTTTCATCCCATTAACACTCACAAACTGTTTCTCTTTTTTTATTTTCTCTCTGCCACAGACGTTGGAGTTACTGAACAAGAACATTAGACGAGGCATAGTCAACTACTATGATGACCTGGACTTCAAAAACATCATGGACTTCGTACAAAAGAAGGTAAGGTTGAATTCACTCTGTGTTTTATGTCATTTTGAACATTCCTGTTAACAAATAACAGGTATGTGTTGTACCTGTGTAAATTTTGCCGCCAGGGGGCTCTCAATCAAAACAATAACAAAAGATGACGAAAAAGGCTGGCGGGGAATCATGGGAGTGATTATCTCTGATATTCCACCCCCGCCCCCGATGAAACCAACTCGGACTTGAACTGTAGTCAAGATGAACGGGCGAAACAATCCTGAGGAAGAGAATACGTTTACAGATCATGTAAACACTTAAACTGTTTTATCACAGCAGCACGTACAGCCACAGTACGCCAGCTTTCAGTAGCAGTTCTTGCTTCCTTATGTAGCAATCTTTCACATTACATCTGTTGTTTCCAGGGCGACATAGACATGTTTTGTCAGTCATGGCGGCTCTGTCATAGTGGCTGCCACGTCCCGTTACCACTATAAAATTAAGGATTTTGCTGGCTTTGATACTCAAAAAATATATAACAATTTTCGTTAATTTAGAGTATAAACTCTACATATTGTATCTTTATTGCAGGGCACACAATAATCTATGAAGCACAACAACATGAGAGTGGATTTATTTTGGGGAAAAGGCATCTAAAGTGAACTGAGTTGTGTCCAATATAATCAGAGAGCTGTGCAGAGCCATCTCTGTGCACCTGCTCCCAGAATTCATCATGCTGCCACACACAGCCGCAAGCTGAAGATCTCATTACTAACTTCTATCCAACACATGAGGGAACAGAGTCTATGAGCTGCAGACTGATCACAGGGTGAAATTAAGAAGCAGCCTGCGACTGATTAACTATGGAGGCGTGTGTGCAGAGTGACCAACGCCAGTGGAGCAGGATTGTTGTTTTACTAATATTTTGGACACTTGAAGGCCCAAGAGTTGATACTTGGCTGGTTTAGAGGGAGCTAGTTAGGAAATGTAGCAGAGTGAGCTTGAAACACGAGCCTTTGTTTTTCTTCTCTTCCTTTGCCTGGCAGATTTTGTCTAGCGCATCTGTGCAACAATCAGGATGTAGCAACATGTTAATGTTAATAGATGACTGTTGAGGTGTTATATCCTTTTTGTTGAACAGCAATCAAACTATTTCTTTAGTCTTTAACGCTCAGTCACAGCAGCCTTTTTCTATTTCTGATAACAATGTAACAAATGACAGTATGTAATGAATGTGAAACTAGCAGATGGTAGTGATGAACCTGCAGAGCGATGTCTCTTGACTCCTCAGCTGATCTCTACAGATCTTTTTTTCTGACTTAATTTTTTAACTGTCTGGTTTGCAAATTTATTGCCCACAAAAGACTGTTCACATATTGTTGTTTTTAGACTGTAGCAGGCAAACATTTTCAACAGAAAAAACTTTAAATACTTCACTACCAGCTTACGACCAATCAACAGGATTACAAAATTGGTAAACTGGTGGACATAGTGCAGCATCCAGGGAAAAGCCACTAAAATACCTGTTGTTCAACACCTAAACACCTGTAGCATTTAGCATCTAAATAGAAAAAATAAAGCAAGATTTATACATTCATGTTAGACTTTTTTATTACCTTTAAAAGCATTTTATCATCACTTCCAACTAAAGAAGTCCAGATTTTCAATCTGTTTTCTTGTGATATCCCAGCTCTGATATAAACATACTGTGCAGCTGTGTGAAGCTCTTACATTATATTTCTCCTGTCATGTTATAAAGCTGCTAGAAGGCCCACATGTTGGCTATAAGAGAGATTTAAGTGTTTTCCTGGGCGAAACACCATAAGACAACCTGAGAGGGGATTGAGGCTGTTTTCAAACGTAAATAGAGTTTTTGGATTTATGTGTTTGCGAGCACAGTACCATGAATTGGCCTGAGTGAGTCATGGTCATGTGTTTGTGTTTGTGTTGAATAAATGACTGGCTCATCTCTTCTCTGTAGCATTAGGGAACGAAATCATTTGACTTTTGAGGGTTGGTGGCTGCATGCTAACTCAGGGCTGTTTAAAGGGCCAGGTCTTTTATTTTTTATTAAAGGAGACCTCTGCTGATAATTTTACTCCAGCTAAAAACTTTGAGCACCAGGGTTGATTAGAGAGCCATTTCATGAAGTTCTCAGCCGTCTATATTTATGCTCCTGTATTGCCCTGTGTACAATAGCACAGTCCTCTCAGAGTTCTTGATACTGATGATTTGAATCCTAATGCTTATTAGATCCTGAAATCTTCTCCTACACATCAATTTCTATTTTGCGCCCTTTAGGGTCTCTCTCAGCATGTTCATGTTTCCTTATTACCAAACTCTGCACAGAGCTTAATTTGCTTAATTTGGGAGCACAGAAATAAACCAAAGCAAACCAAAGTACTCCAGTTATTACATTTTATTTCTTTCTGGTGTGCCAGGGACACCTGCCCTCTTGACGGCATCATTTCTGATCATCATTTGGGCCAATCTGAACAAAATTGTGAACCTGTGACTGATAACTCAGTCACTCTTATAAATTGAAGATCTGAAAAGCACTTCCACATTAGGCAAGGAGTCAAGCTCTCCTATTGCAGTCCAATCTAGGCTTTTTGTCCTGGTTGCGAAATTGTGTAGCCCTTAATTATTTTATATTAGCAACAGCAGGAAATTAGAAATATCTCATACAGGAGCTACAACACAAACTAATGACCAAGAGGCAGGTTATAGCACATCCTATATGAAGTTAATTTCAAGCTGACCTTTCCCATAATGCTGCCTTGGTATTTTCTAATGGAAATGTGACATTTATTTCTTCAGAAATTACTGCCTGGATCAGAAGACACTGATGGATTGTTTTCTTAACCTTGCATGTTTAATCAAAAAGTAATAGTGTTTGCTACTGCTGAGTCTCATTGCAAAAATCTGGCAAAGTTTTTATTTCAATCATTCGAGGAAGTTTTGACAACTTCACACTCTCATGGAAGCAACGCTTCTCAATTTCCACAGCAGAGTCAGCGTTCAGAGTGGTCACAATGATTTCATCAGGATTTCGGGGTTCATAAGAAGTCTAAAAGCACAACACAACACAACCAAGCCACTGACTTATCTGAACACTGGCTTCATTTCCTCAGTGCTGTGCAATCCTCTGACACAGATGTGATCATACATATTTATAAGTTCATTTTGGATTCATCACAACAGCCATTAAAGGTAACGTCAGGAAAGCCAGCAGATATTTTACAGGGACGTGTACCAGGGGTTCACTCAATGTGCTGTGCGGGTCTATGAAAATATGATTAACAATATATGAAAAACATAAACAAACAGAGAAACACATAGATAAACCTCACACTTTTCACATGACATTTTTGGATTGGGTTTTTATGAAAAGTAGTATTTATTTATTTTTGCGGGGGGGTGGGGTTGGTTATAACTGGACACCTGCTTTGGCTTTTTTCTTTTTGTACAGTCATGAACATTAATCCCCTGTGGAATTGTTTGATTTACAGAGGGCACACTAGGAATGGTGTTGGTGTAATCGTATCACCTAAGACATGAGTTTAACCGCAGGATGAATTGTTGTTTTCATCTCTGTATTTGAAATGTAAAGCTGCCCTGTCAGAATCGGTCACTCCCCTTGTCTGTTATTGGCACTTGTCTTCAGATATTACAGCTGGAGGAGAAATTATTGATCACTCTGGTCTTCAAAGTGTGTCCATCCATCAGATAGAGCGGCCCTGCCATTGGAGGGAACAGTCCATCATTCATGTCGTACTATAGATGGTTTGCTCCGGTTTCCTTAGGTCTTTCTTGTGTCCCCGTTCTCATGAAAATAGCTTCTTCTTTTATAAGTATAGACTATTATCCTCCAGCAGAGCATCATTGTAAGGTGAAGATGAACTTAATGTTGTGGCTAGTAGTTGGTAACTACTATAGTCGTTGGTCTATGTTTTGATTGGCACCAGAAGAGACTACACATAACAAAATGTACAAGGCAGAAAAGGGAGATGGAGAAAGCACAGTTTTCCTGCAGTGGTTTTCAGATCCTGAATTTGTGAATATGTGAGAAACAACTCTCCTCAGGGGAAACATAAAGAGAATAGGCTGTTAGGGGCAGAAGATGAAACTTAGGGAGAAATGTCTGCAGGAAAAGATGGAATGTGTTCAGATCGATGAAGGACTGTGTATGCTGCAGGTATTTTCTATCTAAAAGACATAATGTCTTTGGTCCACCAAACAAATCTTTCTTTCTGTGAAACAGCATCACTTATCTTAGCAGCTTACTTAAGTCAGTTCTGATTCAGGCTCCAGTCTTTAGACTTTTAGAAAAACTGTTTGAACTTAGTCTTTAGCAGATGTTGACATTTTAGACTTTGAACATGCTCTGTTAAAAAGTTCTCTAACCAAAACCTGCAATTACCTGCCTAGTTTCCCCCCCTTAAGTTGATCAACATATGTTACAGTAACAAAATCATTTTGGAGAGTAGAAACCCATTTGTTTTTTGATGTGTGTTTTTAAATCCCCTGGCTTCCTCTGATGCTGTCTTTCTAACTGCAGAGCGATAGTAAACAGATATAAACAGTTCATATGGCAGGACGATGGATAATGGATGTGAGGCACTTCCTGGGAAACAAAGCCCTAGTTGGTCTGATGGGAGTGCAATTAGAGGTACACAGGCAGGCATCTTAGCAATGTTCCATCACAGGGGGGACACTACAAGTGACAGGATCAATCCCAGCTCATCCCCGGTTCTCCAATACCAAAGCTTTATAACAAGACTGTAAAAAACGATAACGGTCGCATAATGTGAGATGAGATGAGATGAGATTCAACTTTATTGTCATTACACATATACAAGTATAGAGTAACGAAATGAGGTTTGGCATCTCACCAGAAGTGCAAATAAGCAGAAAGTGCAAGAGTCTGTGCTATGTACAGTAATTACAAAATTTACAGGTGTAGACTAAAAAAAGTGAATTATTAGGTCTATATGGATGGCTGGATTAATGGGATACATTAATTCTAACATTGTGGAAAATGCTTCTTATTTTCCTTTTATTTAAAGCCACTACAGTTAAAGAAAAAACTTCAATTTCACTCAGTTTTTTTCATTACGATTGGACACTGGACTCAAACTGAAAATCATTTAGTTAAATCTTTAAATGTTTTATTTGACTAAAAGTAGAGCTCTTCAGAGGTCCATTTCATTTTTGGAAAGACCATTGATTCTGCCTGGGATATGATATCACAGTTACCAGCAGTGTTTTTATTCCCAATAAACATTCTAATCACCTGGGGCGCTGGTGGCGCAGTGGTTAGTGCGTGCGCCCCATGTATGGAGGCTATAGTCCTCCAAGGTTTGAATCCCACCTGTGGCTCCTTTCCCGCTCCTTACTCTCTCTCCCTGGTTTCCGACTCTATCCTTTAAATCCTTTTAAAACACAGATCTAAAAATCTTTTACTCATAGCTTTTCTTTTTATATCTATTTATATCTGCACCTTATTTTTATTTTTATATATAAATACATGCTGCTGTTTTTATCCTGCACTACAACGAGCCAAATGCAACTAAATTTTGTTCTTATCTGCACTGTAAAGTACAAGTTTGAATGACAATAAAGAAAGTCTAAGTCTAAGTCTATCCACTGTCCTGTCTCTCCATTAAAGGCCCAAAAAAGCCCAAAAATAAATCTTTAAAAAACAGAGATATACACCTCTCCTAAAATATTTCTTCTGGGTGGAAAAACAGCTGGGAGCACCTGTTGAGTCGAGCTACATGTGAATACCGGTGACCAAATAAACAAGTGGGAAAAAATTATTCAAGCAAATGTAGAGCTCTTGCTGTTGCTTTGCTCCTAGAGAGGAGGGGGAAAATGTAATAGAAAGCAGAGGTAGAGCCTCTTACTTTTTTTTAACTTTTTTAAACTTTTTTTTACTCCTATGTGCACGCAGCAGCGGCAGAGAAGAACACCTGGCGACAACGCTGTAGCATAAGAAAACAATGGTTTACTGGTGACCTTTTTCTAGTAACGGCTCTCTGTGTTATTAGGCCCTAAGGCTGTATCTGCCTCTCGGCTCGTCTGCAGCTTGTTTGTAGCTGCGCTTCTTTTAAAGCTATACTGTAATTCCTTTAGTGAACTAAGCCAGACCAAACAACGGTGAAAGTGATCTTTTCACATCCATATCAAATAATGATAATAATGTAATTTTTAATAATTGGTAATATATAGAAATGAAAGGTACCTCTATATAATTGAAGTGATCAATTAGTTGTGAACTTTAGTTATCACTATGAAAGGGTGCAGGAGAGTGTTTCTGTATTTTCACAGGATGAAGCAGGCTCCCCTCGTCTCCGTCAGTCTCATTGTTGTCAACAGGTGTTTGGATTGATCGGTCATGAAGGTTGACCTCTTGCGGATTTAAAGTCACCCCCGCTGAAGTATTTTCACTTGCCAGCTTCACCCAGAAAAAAGGGTTTGAAATTGTACTGTTGCTGAGCTTATCTTCCATTTGTAGACACTTATCACATCTAATGACTTTGCCTTCCTGTGACCTTTGTTATGATGCAGAACTGGAAAATGCACTTGGTGGCGTCAAGCCAGGGAGTGTGGGGAGTAACATTTTACCACGCTGGCACGATGCCCACATACTGATCACACTGCTTCGCAAAGATCAACCTCATATTTATTCATGTATTCATCTTGAGTCTTTATCTCTCTGCCCCTCCTTTCCTATAGTCTCCTGGTGTCTGACCCTTTGTGCTGATATTTCTAAAAATGATCTTTCTTATTATGTTTCTGTCAGTGAATAACTACAAATAAGGTTTAGTGTTCCTCTTTGGTTACTATTGGAGGATTTATTCTCTGAGGCAGCTGTGCAGTCAATATATTCCTAAGTGAATAGAACTTTTCATTTTCATTTATCAGGACCATAAGGGGTTGGTTTGACTTATTTTTTTATCTTCTCATTTTTTTTTTTTTTTTTATTAAATATTTTGTTTTCAAATATTAAAACATTTAGTCTCCATGGTTGTGATCTCTATCCTATTAGACTTTCTCTTGCTGAATAATTTTAAATATATATATATATTTAATTAATGTTATTTGTTACGCTTTGGCTTTAATACGAAAAGTCTTTGCATAACTTGGAAATTTCTCTGTTGTTATTTTAATTGCAATGACAGTATCTGTTCATTACTGGTATAATTTTTTTACTTAATATTATGTGGGACATTAAATTAATTTTCTCACTTCTGTTTTCCCAGCAGGGTGCTTTCTCATACAGTTAACACTTAGATGAAAGTAAAGTCAACTTAACTCTAAACCTCTAAGCAAAAACCAATAATGATTACCTTCCTTTAGCTAGATTATCCCCGTGAAATAATGGTGTTTCTTCCTTTCAAGGGTTCGACAGTAAAGGCGGAAATAGAGAGCAAAAAAAGATCATTTGTTTGGTGTTGCTTCATTTAGTGCCTGTGAACCAAAACAAGAGGTTTACAGTTCTTACTTAGTTATTTTGGGCTAAAGGTATTAATGATTCAGGAGGAAACTATTTATTCTGTGTGGCTGCTGTTTTCTCCTGCAGGGTGCATGTTTAAGACAAATAGCAGGAGAGTTCAAACAGTACTAAAATATGTTGTAATATCATAATATAGATTTCAAACATATACAGGGAGACAAACTTATATAATGGAGCATCACCTGAACGTTTCTCTTTATCGTGGTTTCTTCCATCCCAGAATATGCCTTAACTAACCATTAAACCGGCACATCAGGAAATGTTATTTAACAAGTTCTTAACTTCCTTTTAACTCCAACACCTTCTTCTTCTCTGGCAGTTTCAATGTTGTGGAGGTGAAGAGTATAAAGACTGGGGGTTCAACATGTACCACAACTGTACTGGGGGTGGTCCACTGTCCTGCGGTGTCCCTCATACCTGCTGCGTTACTACTGAGGTAGGTATCACTAATGCTACCATTACTGATTGTTATATCACTACTATTACCTACTAATGTAACTGCTGAGGCTGTTACTTTTCCAATCCATTATGGGTCTATTATGGGTTTATAGGTGTAGTCACCATTATCAATTACATTCCTGTCTTATCTTATCTTAATCATTAAGGCACTAATGTTGCACAAGTGTTTCAACTGCAGTGCATTGTGTTTACAATAATTATAGATTTTATTCACCCATTTGATCGTCAATCAAATCGCACCTGCTAACTGGAAGGCTGCTACATATGCCAATGCCACCTAAAAATATAAATACCTGTAAAATATATATTCTAAAGCTGTATTGTAGTCATTATGTCTTTCATGTTCGTGGTTTGAAGATCAATGTTATGTAATGTAACATTACCCAAAGAGCTTGGATAAAGCACATGTTACATCATTCCATGCTCTCTATTTGTATATTTATAATGGCTCTTTGAATCTTTGAATACTCAGTTTCTATGTCATTATTGTAATAGCTGTAATAATGGGGAGTTAGGTTTAAAATGCATCTCAGCGTCCTTATAATGGTGATTAAGCCTTTTCCATGTCAGAAACAGACACAGGCAATTTTCTCCCACACCAAACAGCACATGCCCTTCCTTTTATTTATACACCTACACTCTGAAGAGCTTACGAGGGAAGCTAGAACAAACAAAAGTTTTTACTTGGACATAAAACAGTTTGATAAACATTTCCATCTCTGCTTAGCAGGACTCATGAAACACTGCCGCTCCTGTGTCCTGTGTTTTAAATCTATTGAACTTTAATTTTCTCTCTAACATTACTGTGAGGGACTTGTGATGACAAGGTAATTTATTATTTTTGTATCAATGTAGAGTCAGTGTGTAAACATGAGTCCTAAACTAATCATTATGTTGCGAGTATATTACATTACAGAGGGCCCCAACACAAGACACTGGCATTTTATCTTTTATTATTTGAATAACGAATACACATTTTAGTATCTTGATATGGAAAACCTCAAGCAGGAGAGAGTTGCTTACACAGCTGCAAACACAGCAGTGACTGTCAGTATGTCTACCTCTTACATCTCTTTGTCTCTGTCTCTCTCTCTCTCTCTCTGTCTCTCTCTCTCTCTCTCTCTCTCTCTCTCTCCAGCCAAATGAAGTTGCCAACACTCTGTGTGGGTACCAGGTGTTAATGAAAGAGGTAAGACCTCTGAGACTCACCTACTACATGTTTGAGATAAGAAAGCACTGATGTAACCTCATTCATTGAAGTGCAGCGCCTCCTTTTAAATGTCAGGTAATAGATCTAGTGCTAGTGTTGTTTTTTTCACCTGGAACAAAGTCTGCAAGAACCATTTACAACAGGTCTAACACCTGAAGGCTTTTCTTTTCATCTTATTTTTTAAAGTAAAACTTCAAAAGTAAATTTTAGTAGTTAAAAAAAACTCTCAAACTTAATATCTTGATACCAAACCAACAGTGATTTTGTGCACTGCATATTTTGTTTGCAAAGCTCTCACATAGTCTTTAAAAATTATCTGACCTTCAGACTATTTTCTATATTTTAGTAACAACTTTGTATAACAAATGATTTTTTGTCTTGAAGCGTTTGGATTTGATTGACACCATCTATATCAGAGGCTGCACTGATGCTTTCTTTATCTGGCTGATGGATAACTATAAGGTTATGGCTGGACTGCTACTAGGGATCCTACTGCCACAGGTAAACACACACACACACACGCACAGGCACGCACGCACGAACACGCAAACTCACACATACACTGCAGATGCACCTTTGTCAAGCACACATTGCTGCTCAAATCAGATATTAAAGTTTCTTTGGTGTCACTCCCAACACTACAACCTCCAATCCAGACTGACAGATTTGATCAGAGTCTCTGCAGCAGAATGAACTCACCAGCAGTGAGTTTGTCTCGTGGGACGGAGAGGCTATGTGATTGTTTGGAGGATGTGATGATACATCTACATTTCTCATGCTTCAGCCTCATAACGTACTGAGTTATTACACCTTATTTATAAGAAGATATATTTTATTAATCCTGTGAGGGGGAAATCAATTGTTACATCAACCAATGCAGATAGGTTGGTAATGTCTGGGCGCACAAATCTGATCCGATCATTTCTAAAAAAAAAAGATCTTATTAGAAAACAAATACCCTTTCAAACTCAACCCTGAAACCAAACTCAAATCTTAACCCCTGAATTCATTATTTTACATTGTCGGGGATGCTTTGTGGCTTTAAATGCCCATGTCGTCACAACATGTTCAACTATAAAACTGTGGTGGCCCTATTGCCTCACTAATGTTTTGGTTTCATTCACATGTTTTAAATGAAGTTTTTGCGATACTCAAAGTTAAGAGTTTGTGTGTACCTGTGATTTTGTTCTTGTTATAACATTTGCTAAAACTCTCACAGCTGGCAGCGATTAAACAAATGCAGCTTCAGAATCAGTATGTCCGGGAATGTCAGAGGCCCATGAAAAAACAAAAACTTTAGCCAAGACCCAGATGACTAAGTGGGAGATGTAAATGTCCTCCTCTCAGGTACATCTGAAAACTCAACTGCACCTGTAGTGATAAAATGAGCAGCAATTTCCACAAAATACTTTGCATACTGTGTGATTTATTTAGCGCCATGCTGTGCATTGAAATAAAAGAGGCTGGATTTTTGACACATCCATTCTGTTTTACACAATCAGGAAAATGATAGACCATTGTATTTCTCTAGCAATAAAAAAACATCGACAAAAAATTAACACTCATTCCCAACATCTCACTTTGACCAGTCTATTTTCCTTCATATCAAGATATTTTTACTCGATCCATTAGTACAGTGTTTTTCAACTGCTGGGTCGGGATCCAAAAGTTAGTTCGCAAATGTGTGCCTAGAAAAATAATTAGGTAAAAACTCTATGAAACTGTTGGCGCTCTGGTTAGTGCAGCATACAGTGGCCATAGTCCTCCAAGCGTGCGGCCCAGGTTCGAATCCAGCCTGTGCCTTCCTGCATGTCATTCCCCTCTCTCTCTCTCTCTCTCTCTCCAGTTCTTTGGTGTGATAGTCAGCTGGCTGTACATCACTCGTGTAGAAGATGCCATCAGTGAGTGCAGTCACCACACTGACGGACTACTGAACTCAAATGCAGAACATAGAGGAGCCAAGAGCCAGGGTCACATGGCCAAATGGTTTCTATGTATGCCAGAGACCGACTGATGGACACACACACACACACCCCACATCTAATGGACTACAACCATCACTTACAGTTGGTTAAATCGCTGCAGTCAATTCAGATACTGCTGCAGCCACTGTAGGCGCCTGCCTCTAAAGTGCAGGTTTATTATCATCATTCAATCAACCAATTCAAGTGTTTTTTATTGTTGTGGGAATAATATGGTTTTTTTGCAGCCAAATTAAATAGAGGTTGATGTTGAAGTGTTCTTATTTATGGTTTACGTACTGTGTGCGTCCGAAACAGTAATGTTTGCAAGGTCCCCTGTGTAATCAATAATTCCTTATTGTGTTGACATGCCATGTGCTGATGCACAAGAGGGAAAGAAGAGCTCATTTAGACATGGGCTTTTAGCTAATATGTGCCTCCACCTGTCTCAGGGATGAACACAAACACTTTAATTGTAAGAAGAACCGGAGACACTGTTTCATTTAAACATTTGTGCCAGTAGAATCGATATTTCCTCAACCCTGTGTATCTCCCTGTGACCACAAGTGCTCACTAAATCTCCAAGATGAGTCCAGGACATACAAGTGTTGTATCGAAATCTCAGAATTATTACAGACATTTTCACTTTTCAAAACTTAATTTAAACCTGAATCAACCATTCGTCTGTTCCTCAAGAGTGTTTTTACTGTTGAAATGAGAAAATGGTAAGTAGGCCGAGCTGCGCGGAGTGAGAGAGTCTGCTTATCAGACAGATTTTATGCTTCATGATGATTTTATCGATGAGTTATAATGCAGCAACAAGCTGATATCTCATTCTTATTGTTCATTACAGCAGGCCTGTCTCATCCAAACTTTTGTTTATGTTCCTTTAATTAGCAGCAGAAAATAGATCTGTGAGGACATGTCATTGATTTATATTTAATCACTACGACAGAAAAGGTACAAATCTGCAAAGTTCAATTTAAAAAAAAAAAATGAAATGTGTCTTCTTTGAAAACAGTGTCTGTGCCCTCTGATCATCCAGTGGCCATACAACAACTTTTCACCATTCTCACTACAAATACATTTCTGAACATAAACAAAGTAGCAGTTACATTGACCTTAACAACACATTTTAGATTTCCCTTAAAAACATCCCTCAGTTTAAAATCCAGTGTGTTTGAATGGTGGCATACATGCTTTTGTTATAATCACAAGTACAAATGTAATGATTTTGTGAACTCTGTCGGTTTGATGTGAAGTTTGAACCTGAAACTAAAAAGCCTGATCTTTGTTGAAGTGAATTTCTTCTTATTAAAATGCCTTTGTGTCTTTATGTAACTTTAGACAAAATGATTTTGTTTTGTACTTGCTTAATGAAAAACAAGACATCCCACATTCAGCTGCCTCGCTTTAGACCACCTTAAAGTAAAACTATTAATGGTCAAACTATTTCACCTGTTTTTGGTTTTTATCTTGAATTCTCTGACCCTGCTCTGATAAAATTTTGAATATTTACATGTCCTTAAGAGTAAACAGTTACATTTTGTGTAGATATACCGCACTGTATAAAACTGTTGTACCAAACAAAGTCCAAACTTGTCTTTTTTGCAGTGTACAGCACAGATGAGTGGTCTCATGAATGTGGTTAAAGACATAACGACCTAAATGATGACCTTTATGTTAATATTATCACCAGAGTGTATGATAACAGCGTCCACTGGAGACTGAATCCTCAGACTTTAAAGTTTAGTATCATCTTCAGTCATTTAATCGAAAATTACTCATTAATTGAGATCGTTTGCCTGGCGAGGTTGGAGAATAAGCTTCTTCTTTTTTCTCTTTGACTTGACTGTTGTCTGAATAAATCCTCATGTAAAAGGGGTATTTGGGGGTTGGGGGCTGTTAAATAAATGATGACTGTTACAGTGTCGTACTGTGTGTTTTCTGGGGCAGGCTTCACCCTGTGTCTAAAGCTGTGTCTATATTTTTCATGAATAAATACACCAATGTGTTTGTGAAAGGTTTAAATACAACAGATGAAAAACTGTTAAAGGACTTTACAAATCACATTTCAAATCTCAATAAGAGGCTGTGTATGTACAAGTGGACTCTACATGGTAGGAGTAATGTCACCTTAGAGATGCCATGCTTCAGACTGGTATGGTGTTAAAGTTTTTTTGTTTTGTTTTACAGGTGTTTCATTCTGCAGAGCAAACACTATAAAACTAATTACGTCATAGTGTACATTGAGACAGCAATATTTATGACAAACATCAGTATGTCAAATAACCAAAGCTCCTTACATGGGAGTTTTAACTTTTCAATTTCTCAAAATACTAAATGAGTTGCTGACCAAGGGCAGTATTGTGTTTGATATGAAAACATTACCATGCCATACGGCTTCTCTAACTCGAGCACTCTCTATGGGTCACCTCAGCATTACTTGGTCTGACATCTTCACCGCCTTTACACATCAGAGGAGCCTGTGTGGAAAGTGTGCAAAGAAGAGTGCACTTTGTTGATGTGAGGTTTGATGTTTGTCTTTCATTTTTCTTTCTCCCGCTGCTTGCAGGACTTCCCACTGCTTGGTACATTTTAATATTTTATTCCTACCACAACCATTGAGTAGAAAACTAGTTTCCTACATATACAACATGGAGGCAGAAAGCTGTTGTGAATGGTCTGGAAGGAGAGTTCCTGTTGCTTTGCTTCACCAGCACACAGCTTAAAATAACCTGTTTGATTTTCTGCTCTCATTCTCTGTAAGGTCAGCCTTCACGTTTGCTTTGTGCTGTGTGGATTCACTCTCAACATCACAAGTCGATCGCATAAGCTGCACCTTCTATGTATTTTATTTAAATAAGAAAGTTGCAGCTTTTCAATATGTTAAAAATTAATTGCCAAATAACACCTACAGAATGTCATGTGCAGGCAGTGACGATGTGGAAGTCACAAGATTCACCAGTAACAGTTGTGGTCATATAATGGAGCCTATGAGAAAAACATGAGCATGACATTGACCACATCCTTCCTCCCAGAAGTCCACAACTTATGGACTTTTTATGTCTGTTCATTGCCATTAATGGTAAGATAAAGACTAGAGAAAGATTGGTTAAAAAAAAGGGGGGGTAGATCACATGTGGGGGCGGGCAAAATTGTCCTTTGATCGCGCTGCAATATCCCTTGGTCTGCATTCTTGTGTTAGCAAGCTAATCGTGGCACACTGTGGTATCATATTGCACATAATTTGACACGTGATCTAAACACACTTACGTGACATCCAAATAAGCAATGAGTAGGTTACGTCTTTCTTATTTTCTCTAGTCCTTGACTGAAACAGCTTTATACGTAAGGCCGTCCCCATCCATGTAAACATGATGTAAACACGACAACAGTACAGCTGGCGGGACTCACGCTTCTCACTCATTGTAGACAGTCATGACTCAGAGAGACATTTACACAGGGTATACTTGATTTCTGCTGTGTTCATGTGTAAAATGTTGCACATTCTTCCTGCAGGGAGGTTAATACTGGATTTTATTTTTTGAGATGTATTTCTGTCTGTTTCACCCGTCAGTTCTGACCAATATTTTTGATCTATAGTAAATCTTTATTATGGTTAAAAATTAGATAAAAAATATTGTATTTCAAACAGAGTTTGAGTTTTGTGGCTGCCAGAGTTTCAACTTTCCTCTTTCAGGGTAATAAACATAACTAGGCTTATAGAGTTACCATAACGATTTCTTTATCACACAGTTTTTGATATTGTTGTATGAAATTATTATCAACATGAGAGTTGCAGTCTTACCAAGAATGATCTGCTTTTAGTAGGGTGGAAAGTGCACTATTTCATGTTCTATGTCTATGACTTATTTTACTAACAAACAACTCTGTTCCACTGACTAATCATTACCACAGATGTGATAAGATTCTGTCTCTTGTTTCTTCAATATGTGCCGTCACTAACCTTGACAGAGTTTTGGTCCTCTCTGCTGTTTCACTCTCAATCTGTCTCGCCCTTGACTTCCAGCTCAACTCTTCAGCTGTTCACTCTGACCTACATGAGCAGACAGATGTACAGGGAGCAGAGCGATGTGCTGCTCCGTCAGCCACCCAGTCTGATGATGTTTGCTTCACATTTCTCCCAGATCTACTCCACTACTGCGATAATTCTGCAGGATATTTTGATATAGCATTAATGATTTCATATCAAACCCTACGATGAAATAACATACTATAGGTTGTGATACTGAAGCAGAAGCATTAATACTCCTTCAGTGTGTCTGGCAGCTCAGGGCCAGTTGACAGATTTCACTCGAGCTGCTTATGCTATAAATTTAAAATCGCATCTGTTCGCTGTTATCTACCACTGAAATACGTTTCAATGTTAAGCTGTATGAGGGCGTGTGTTGTGTGATGTTTCCAGAAGGTACATATTGATTTTATTTGTGAAAACAGTTTTTTGGACTGGGTAATTGTCTTGTAGAAGAGTAGTGGAAGCAAAAAAACACATTTTCTTTCCTTGTTTGAACAAACTCATCTCCCAATGACAAAGATTTGAAACGTTAAGTCGAACCTGACCCGGTTTGGAGAGGAAATAAAGTGAGAGGTAGAGAGCGCTTGTGTGTTAGTGCGTGTTTGTTTGTGTGTGTGTGTGTGAGAGAGAGAGTGTTGCTAGTGTCCAAGTGTCCCACAAAGAGCAGAAAAATACAGCTTGTGTGACTTTTCCGATTTCTTTAGTTGGGTTGAAGTTTGACAGTAATGATAACTGCAGGAGCACACACCCCTCTAGTCACACGCGCACGCACGCACGCACGCACACACACACACACACACACACACACACACTTCTCCCTTTAACCTCTACTAATGGACTCCTTGTATGAAGTTAATGGTCCTAGAAGAAGTGCTGTATTGTCGAATTCAAAAATCTGCTATGGTTGACAATGCTATAAAAAATCGAGAGCGAGTGTAGTGAAGGAGTGTATTGAAGTGTTGCATGTCACATTGGACTAATCAAAATCACACATTGGATCAGTAGTTATCAATATACAAAGAGAAATGTACAAAGACTCAAAGTAATACTATTTCAAGAAAAGCTTTGTGATGAATAGCAGCTAAAATGCGACTTCAGATTATATGTCTGATGTTTGATTGTTAGACATCGTGTTTTTTTTTCTTCTGGTATTAAAACAAACTCCTTCTTCTTCAATTAGGTAAACAGTTTATTGGCAGATGTAAGTCCAGTCAAATCTACTATCACCATCAATGTTCATTAATTCAATGTAAAGTCCTGTATTGAATTGAAATCTTGTCTAAGGACTTAGCCATCTGCCTTTTCATCGGCTAGCTGCAGGTGTGACACACTGTGCATTGATACATTTACGGCTAAAGCAGTGCAAAATCATACAAAACAACTCATCTAGATTTTAATATATATACTCCAAGATGAATGTAGCAAGTCTAAAAGTTAAGACAGCCGCTTTTAAGCCGTCCTACCTTTGTTTGGTTTGCCTTTAAAATTGTTCCCACAGCTTCAGCATTGTGGGGAGATATACCAGAAGAAATCCCTCATTCATATTGAAAAGATGCAACAAAATAAATGTTGTATTTTATGTATCACCTAACATATTCTGACATAACCTATTTGCTAACATCAATATTTGTACCTGTGTCATTACAGCTTGTGTGAGGAGCTTTAGTGTGTATTGATTTTGATGCCCCCTGTGGGCGAAGTGGTTCCTTATCTATTGTCTGAACTTTTCTTGTGTATGTGAAGTATTGTTTTCAGATAGAAATCCTACTCTGCTTTCGTTTAACGGTCCAAAGTATCACTCACTATGAATATTTGTCATGGAAAGATGGATGTTAAATAAGGCCGTTTCTTCAGTATGCTGTTATTTGCTTGTCTGACACCCAGCCCATGGCAGCTGTCAAAGGCGTTAGGAATAACAGAAGCATCCGTTTTAATTTCAGTCTCTTTCATAACCAGCTTTATACTCCAAACAGGAGCTTTAATTTAATCACATAATTCCTCCCAGTGTCTGTAACTAATGAGACTTACGTAAGCGCTGAGAATTCTTTTCATCTCATCAGCAATCAATAATTTGAAACGGTCTGTCAAAAACAGAAAGAAATGCAGTACCTGTGGCTGTCACAAGCCTGACATGTGTCTGTCCAATTTTTGGACTGAATCAAATGATTGGCCTATACTTACCTGACTGTGTACATTTACCTGCAGGCTTATCAGCTCACTGTTGCAAAAAAAAAAAGAGCAAGGTTGTTCGATGAAGTACTACAGAGGTCTCCATGACACTCTCTCTTGGTCTTGTCTGTCACCAGTCGTGAAGAGGGGGCGATGGTTTATGTGTTCGGGGGAGTGATTTGCCATTTTGCATGTTTCGATTTCAAGCTGCAGGTTTCACCAAAGATGCTCATCCGTCTTTGTTATGTACCTCTTTTACCGGTTACTAATGACTACCCGACACTTTTAGTCACAGCAAAATTAATGGTTAAACTAGTTTATTTCAAAATGTACAATATAACTTTTACCTTAACAGTTTGCTTTCGGCTGCCTGCTCACAAGAAACACAAATCAAACGTAGTCACCTCATGACTCACCTGAAGTGTCCAATACTGTGTGGTAGGGTGCTGGTCATTTATTATTCGTCTGGTAGCTGTCCCAGTGTCTGGTCCGATGCTGACATTTAGCCCTGCACACAGTAACAAACTGACCCAATTAGTTATATAGACAACAGAGGTTGAGGTTGGTCTTTAGAGCCACATGGTTTATTTACACAGTTGGCCGTAACTGACTGATGATCAGCTACATCAATAACATGTGCAGTCTCCTATAACTGTTCTGGGTAGAAATGAGAGTAACAGTAACAACAACCACAGCAAGAAATGTCTCAGTAAGTGTT